AAAGAGTTCCTAACTGTGGAACAAAAACTTGAAATCACTCAAATTTTTAGGGCCAGATCCTTTAACTTTCAGAAACTTCACCCATCAGGTTTAATTTTTATGAGCCTCTTTTGGCTTTGTTTACTTAGTTGGCCTAGATTATTTTTGATGTTCCTTCAGTTGTCAAAATTTGTTTTTCTGTCCTTGCTTTTGGAACTGCTTTGATGATGGCTAATGTACTTATTGGACTGTAGGCATTCCTCATGTTTCTCACTTTCTCACCTTTCCTCTTGTTACACCTTTTTTTTTCTTTTTGCCTTCCAATCAAAGTAGCCGTTACTTTGATTTAATTTAAATATTGTCTTTCTTCTGAACTCTAGGTTGATTTAAATTTGTTTCAAAACGTTTAGCCTAGAATTCATTGTTCTTCCCAAATTAGCACTTCTTTTTTTTAATTTTTTTTAAAGATTTATTTTTATTATTTTTTCATTGAAAAGGCGGATATACAGAGAGGAGAGACAGAGAGGAAGATCTTCCATCCGATGATTCACTCCCCAAGTGAGCACAACGGGCCGATACTATGCTGATCCGAAGCCAGGAGCCTCTTCCTGGTCTCCCACGCGGGTGCAGGTTCCCAAAGCTTTGGGTTGTCCTTGACTGCTTTCCCGGGCCACAGGCAGGGAGCTGGAAGGGAAGCGGGGCTGCCGGGATTAGAACCGGCGCCCATATGGGATCCCGGGCGTGCAAGGCGAGGACCTTTAACCACTTGCACCACCGCGCCGGGCCCCAAATTAGCACTTCTTATGGTGGGCAATTAATTTTGATTATGATTACTACTGTTATTGATAGATAACCATTAACCTTGGTATTTAGTTTGCTAGGATAGATTAGTTAAACTTATCACAGTACAATCCATGTTTCTGACAGGAGCTTCTTGCTGGTCTCCCTCATGGGTTTCTGCACATTTCATTGCTTTCTCACACACATTAGCATGGGGCTGGGTTCAAAGTAGAGCATCAGAACTTAATCTAGTGCCAATACATGATGCTGGCATGGCAGATGTCAGCTTTACCCTCTCTACCAGTTCCGGCCCCTGTTGGATGCTTTTTCCTTTTTAAATAACATTTTAGAATCTTGAGGGATATTCACATTCCACAGAAAATTGTATGAATTCCATTGATATGATGACAAATCTGGCATTTTGTTGACCTTTTAGTAGTGGTGGGCCAGATAATAGTGTATAGTGTTGCTTTCTTGTAGTTTCTATATAATACAAATTTTATACATTCCTCATAATATTTTCATATAGAAAAGGATTACCTTAAAAACTTATATCTAATAATTACACTGTTCCACAAACTTTAATGTTTTATACAATTATCTAAGTAGTAAAAGCAAGGCATTATTTGAAACATTGTTGCTGAAAAGTACTGCATTTTGTTCTTGATTATAGTTAACAGATATCCCATTTCAGTTCAAACTTTGTATGAAAAAAACAGTATAAAAACTATCAGACCTCTAAGGGTAGGGGCTGGATCCATCACGGGTCAGCACTCTTGAGGCGTGACGATATTTTGTTCATCACTGGAATCAGGTGTTAGGGTTTGGGATCTAAGAGAGCACCTGTGAGATTCAGGAAGCCTCTTCATCCTTTGTCTCTTGGTCCAGTTGCCAGCTTTGAGAGCAGCTGGGATTTTTTTTTCTCCCCAGCCATACTTTCTTTACCTTTGGAGAAAGCATGTAGCTAAAATGTGTAGCCTTTGTGTGGCAAACTTGGTAAAGGCCTTGTGCCATTTGGACAACAGTTGCTTTAAGCTTTCCTCCCATGTCCTCAGCATTTGTGGGTTCATCTCCTTAATCCCATAAGAATATTCTTTCTTTTCAAAATTCTTTTTTTTTTTAATTGAAACGGCAAATTTACAGAGAGAAAGAGAAATAATATCTTCTGTCCGTTGATTGATCCACTAAGTGGCTACAATGGCCAGAGCTGAGCTGATCCAAAGCCAGGAAGCCAAGAGTGTCTTCTGGGTTTCCCATGCAGGTGTAGGGTCCCAAGGCTTGGGCCATCCTCCACTGCTTTCCCAGGTGGAGAAAACAAGTATCCCCTCACCTTCTTGCTGCCACAAGTACTGAACAGAGGCTAACAGACTTCTCGGGGACCATTGCTACATGAATTTTCTTGCAGAACAAGCTTCATCAGTCTAGTTTGTTGCTGAGCTGGGTCTGACCAATTGCTCAAAGAAGTCAGGATGCTGCCCACTGTGCTGTCTATACAGGGCTGAAGAATTGGAAGGAGGGAATCATGACTTCAGCTTTGCAGAGATGGTTTTTCCATCAAAATCATCAACCATTGCATCCATCAGGCAGTCTCCTATTTGTCTTGGTGTCCATCCAGGTTCCAGATTCTGAAGTAGTTGGTGCTGGTTATAGTTGCAGTTTTGTGCTGGTTTTAGTAGATAAAAAAACCTCAGGTTCGTTCTTTGACATTCTGTAAGTTGAGTTATAGGGTAGTCTTATTTAGTGTTATTTTGGTTTCCTTTTTCTGGTTTGTATTTGATTGTTCATACTAACAAAGGAAAAAAATCACCCTCAGATTTTGAGCACATAGAAGATTCATATTTTTTTATGTTGAAAAATTTGCAAGTATAATGGAAATTTTAATTCAGTATCTTCTCGGTGGTTGGTTAAGTAATTTGTGTTTTACATATAGAACAAACTTAACTTTCTTAAAAAATGTATATTCTGTTGATTATTCATGTTTCTATATGGTTAGCTTCAGTGTCAAGGAGAGCGTTTGATACTCATCATGGTTTGATCTCTGTGGAAAAAAGAATGGAATTTGCTTACAAGTCATTTGATGATCTCACTGCATTTACAAGTTTTTATTTAAGGCCAGAATTGTGACAGAAGATGTTATATAAAGAAATAAAGATTTTTGTGATGTCATGTTACTCCACTTGATATTTCAAAAATATTGATAAATAGAAAGATTAAGCAGAAGAACATTAACTTGCCATTTCAGTCTTGAGTTTTAATCCTAACTCCAGTATGCTCAATTTCTTGTATATGTAAATTTTGTTTATTTACCTGAAGAAAACCTTGTAAGCAATTTGAAAAGTGTCTTGTCTTCTGCTTTTTTGCACTTGTTAAGAATGTTTAAAAAATATTTTAGATACATAAGCAGTGAGTTGTCATTTTTATATCCTTGAATATTAGAATACTCTAAAATAAATATTTTAAAGGGTTTCTTATTTAAATTCCAATTGTGATACAATGGTAGATCAGTTTTACAAGGACTCAGAAGTCTTGTTTGACAGTATTTACAGCTGCTGTTGTCTTTTTAAAATGTGTATGCATACATGTTTTTGCATTCCTGAGGCAAAACTCATTTTACATTTGAGAATAGTTATCTGTGTTCTGTTGAGTAAATAGAATAGTTACATTTTTGGGATTAAAGAAATGCAAATTCTGTTAGTTGTATTTACAATTTTGGCTCTAGGTGAATTATATTTGTAAACTCTTTTTATGCATTTGTGGTTGGAAGCTGATTTTAAACATTTTCTGTGTGTGTGTTTTTAAGGAGAAAGGTCATGGCATGTTTGAAGCAAGAATTAATATAAAACTAACTCATGGGTCAGCACAGTGACTCAACGGGTTAATCTTCCACCTTTAAGTGCTATCATCTTCAAAGTGGGGGCTGATTTTAGTCTTGGCTGTTCCACTTCTGATCGAGCTCCCTGCTCACGGCCTGGGAAAGCAGTGGAGGATCCCTCAGTTCTTGGGCCTCTGCACCCACTTTGGAGACCTCGGATTGGCTCGGCTCTGGTCATTGGGGCCATTTCGGGATTGAACCAGCAGATGTAAGATCTTTCACTGTCTCTGCTCTCTTTAAATCTGCCTTTCGGATAAAAATAAACTAGATCTTTAAAAACATAATATAAAACTGACTCAAATTTAGACAGTTTCCATAAATCACACTGGTTTTAAAAAAGTAACTTATTTTATTTGAACGTCAGAGAGATAGACATGGAGGGAGGAAAGGCAGGAAGTGAGACTGAGACTGAAAGGAAGAGATTGTCTCAGGCTCACTCAGACACCGACAACAGCCAGAGCTGAACTCAGGGGCATGGAAACTCCGGCCAGATCTCCTATCTGACAGGGACCCAGCCTCTTTAGCCATCATGTGCTGCATTCCAGGACAAACTATAGAAGCTGGAATTGGAAGTGGAAATGAGACCAAACCCAGGCACTCTTATATGGGATATAGTATCATAGCATCTTTTTTTTTTTTAAAGATTTATTTTTATTGGAAAGGTGGATACATAGAGAGGAGGAGAGACAGAGAGGAAGATCTTTCGTCCAATGATTTCACTCCCCAAGTGGCTGTAATGGCTGGAGCTGAGCTGAGCCTATCTGAAGCCAGGAGTCAGGAGTTTTCTTCTGGGTCTCCCACATGGGTGCAGAGTCCCTAATCCTTGGGCAGTCCTCGACTGCATTCCTAGGCCACAAGCATGGAGCTGGATAGGAAGCGGGGCCACCAGGATTAGAACCAGTGTCCATATGGAATCCCGGCACGTTCAGGGTGAGGACTTTAGCCGCTATGCTATCATGCCAGTCCCGGGATATAGTATCTTAATGACATCTTAAGCACCATTTAAGTTGTCTTTCCTGTGAATCTCATTGCTATCCTATATTAATATTGATATGAATGATAGTGTAAAGTCTTCTTCTAAAGAACAAAAGGATTTTTATTAAACTAGGTAAAATGTTTTAACCAAACTTTTGAGAATTTTGATTCTAGTTAGGCAGTAATTTAGCACTGCCTCATAATACATAATAAGGACTAACTAAGCTAACAAATTGCTACTTTGCAAAGGATGGTTTCATTTTAGCAAGGTGGTTTTTCTAAGATAATGAAACAGTGGGTATGGGTAATTGCATTTAAAGATGATTAGGAATATCAGTGAATTTATCTGGGAAATGTATATATATATATATACACACACACACACACACACGTCTTTTGTAATGCAGTGGGTGTTGTGTACTTCAGGTTACATTGCTGCTTGAAATAGCTGCATCTTGTACTTTTTTTCTCCTGTGTGTAAATGGGATACAATTCTGCTACAATGTCAAACCATCTTTATGTGCTAGTTATCACTTTTACCGGAAGAGAAAGGGAAGACAGGCATCTTCTGAAAATCTCCTCCCTGGTTCCACTGTGACAAGTGACAGTTAAACTGATAGACCTAAGCATCAAAATAGTATTGGTACTTTAACTACATTATTTTCTTTAAAAAAAATCACGTTGAAGAAATTTCCAGTCCTTTTAAATTTTGATGTAGTGGTTTAAGTTTGACTTTTTTGGTTGTGTAGAACTTCCACTTTCTGATGATGCCAAATATTTAATGTAGCAAGAATCAGGGTGAGTGAATCTTTTCAAACAAGAGGTTGAATTTTGTTTGCCAAAAACAAGAATTTTTCATTATACTATTGCTACTTTGAAGCAGTAAAATAACTTTAATTGTGTGTTCATTTTATTTTCAGGATTTTTCAAGTTGTATCCAACTGATAGGATGAAAAAATTTAAGAGAAGACTGTCCCTCACTCTTCGAGGAAGCCAGACTATTGATGAGTCACTGTCTGAGCTGGCCGAGCAGATGACCATTGAGGAAAGCAGTAGCAAGGACAATGGTAAACCATTGAAATGGGAAGATACTTTCCCCACTGAATTACACTGTGAAAAATGCTCTCTAGATAAGTTCATCCCGGCTTCATTTTATTTTGTCATGACTTTCTCATGTGTCTTAGGACACAGAAGACTGTTGCTTTGCGTGCTCGTTTCCTGGAATGTTCTAATTTCACAAATGTTCACCTAGTTTCAGATCCTGAGGAATTCTTCTATAGCATGTATCTTTATATTCTTAATAAGAATTACATAGTATTGTTCTAATTGCTAAATGTTTAATAAACATTTATGTATTTTGTTGTTAGTATAATCTAATTTAATAATCTTTTAAATGTGCCAGGAAAGCTTATGAAATTCCTGTTTTTGGCTTCCTCATAGTTTTACAACATTTTGTGTGTGTGTGGTCTGTACACCTGCATTACAGAGCTCTCCAGAATGAATTTTACTGTTTTTTCTTTTATGTTTTTCAGAGTCTTTCCATAGTATTGAAATCATTTGCAATAGATAGGCATGTAATTTTTCATACATTTGACAGTGCTCTTAACAAATAAAGCAGTAAAGCACATGCATTAGCATAAAATAGAAGAGATTATTAAGGTAAATAGATTAAGAGGCAGCATTATGGTGGAATTTAGAGGAAGGCGACATATTCAAAACTGAAATTGTCCTAGGGATGTCGGAACAGTAACCAGGGAGGAGCTTGTATAAGTGGCTGCCTATGTGTGCACTATCAGGAAAGGCTTCTTTTTGCCTGTGCTGGCAGTGTCAGTGCTTTTGAGCCTAAACTTATCTGTTTCAAAGTTAGAACATTATCTGTTCTTACAGACCTTTTCATTTTCCTAAGATTTTCCTTAAGGGGAAGAGAAAAAGATGGGCTGAGTAGGAAATTTACATAAATAATTTGAATATAATTACATATAGCAGGGGAAATTTTGCAATTGGATTAAACCTCAAAGATATCTTTTATTCCTTTTGCCAAAGGATCTCTGCTAGATACATGGAATGGAGTCCTTAGTTCTCTCTGACCTCCCATTGAATTCTTGTTAGTAATTGAATCTATTGTGTTCATTTTTATGATACTGGAGTCTTGCCAGTATGTTTGCCGATGGTGTTCTGATGTAAAAAAAATATGCTGTTCATTTTGGTGAATTGTTTCTATGACACGTTATTAATAAATATTTGACTGTCTATCCTTTAAGAATGAAAAAGACTGGGCAAAAAGAATGAAGCTACCTTTCAGAGAGTTAATTAATATTTTACATTGTGTATTTTCTGGTGTAGTGTTAGCTATCTTAAACCATACTCGGATTGCAACAAATGGTGAAATGTTATATGCTTTCCATATAAAACTTTTTGTTACAGTAGTGACTTTAACAGGTAGTAAAGAGGAGAAAATCAAAGCTCTATTTTTCTTTGCATGAGTTACTTGAAATAATACGTAACGACAGCATGATAGATTCCTCGTTGGTTTGAGGGTTGTTGATATTCTGGGCTACATTAATCGTCCACATGGAGCCAACAGCTTTGGCAGAGATTCTACTTCCTTTAGTCATCTGTCAGTGCTTAATACCTGAGTTCAACATTATTTTCTTACGAAGCTTATTTTAGAACATTAAAGTCCATTAGGCCAGTGCCTTGGCGTAGTGGGGGTATGCCACTGCTTATAGCGCAGGCATCCCATAGGCACCCGTTGGAGTCCTGGCTTCTGTACTTGTCCAGCTCCCTGCCAGTAAGCCTGGAAAAGCAGTATAAGACTGCCCAAGTACTTGGGTCCCTGCTCCTGTGTGGAAGACCTGGAAGAAGCTCCGAGCTTCTGACTTTAGCCTGTCTCAACCCTGACCGTTGTGGTCATTTGGGGAGTCAACCAATGGATAAAAGATCTCTCTCTTTGTCTCTCTCTTTTCTCTGTCTCTCTCTGCCTGTCCCTCTCTCTCTCTCTCTTTAAAATAAATAAATACATCTCTAAGTATCTTTTTTAAAAAGATCTTAAGTCACACAGAGTCACAGAGTCTGTGTCAAAATTTAGTATTATGAATGGAAAGTAGTAGAATGTACTTCTTAAATCCTTCTCATGTCTGGTATGACTAACATGAACTAAAACTTTAACGCCAAACTGAGGCATTATTAACTTAAAGAGGAATATAATTTGTAGTATTTTTGACCAAACAGCTTTTCAGTTTTTTTTTAATCTTGTCTTCTGTTCAGTCACAATCTGTTTTTGTTTAATATATACACATGTAGCTTGCATGCATTGGAGAATTGAGTACACGTATTTGCGAGAATAGAAAAATACTGATGTGTGTTTGGTTTTATATATATACACACACACATGCATATACAGACATATACATATACATGTATCTTCACATATTCTTATATGCTGTGCTTTTATCTGAATACAATTTATTATCTGTCATTTTGAAAACTGAATCGTACTATAAAAATTTGAGCTCTGTTATCAATATTAGTATAATCCATATTCAGAGTGCTTTTATTGGAGCTGGTATTGCACATTGGCAGGTGAATTTAACCTAAGAAAAGGTGACTCTTGAATTTGTGGTATGTTAAAAATAGGTTGAAAGTTTGCAAATAGTTGATTTAAGCATATTCTCCTTAATTCAGTATAGCTTTTCTACTGTCAAGTAATACATTTTTGCACAAAAAAAAAAACTATGAAATTCTGTCAGCACTCAGTAGTCTAAATGTAGAATTACTGCATTTTCAGCAAATCCAATCCTAGAGGTATATACGAAGGAATTGAACTAGGTATCTGATAGCTGTCCAGCCATGATTGCTTGGGGCATACACATGGACTACTGACTGATGGTCAATAGCCGCAGTTTATTAATGGCATCAGACTTTCATAGACCAGGGGTCACTTAGGATAAGGGAGGAGATTTTGAGCTTATCTGTGGAACCCATCAATTGTTTCTACACCCTTGTTTGCAGCTCTTTTGTTTTGCATGAACCACCAAGTGTTCAAATTCACATGCTGTCCACTCATTTGTTCTCATGCAAATGATATCCAGTCAGTCACAGATAAGGCATCAATCCTGTTGGTCTCCTACAAATGTTATCCCATCAATTGTAATCCTGTGCTTGCTGACCTTCTATGGTCACAGTGTCCTTCTGCAGATATTGAAACAAAATATTGTACATGAGTATTTTGTATACATAATAGCACTATTCATAGTAATCTACAGATGGAAAAAACAACTTAATATGCCCATAAACAAATGAATGGATAAATGAATTTAATATAGCCATAGAATGAAATATAATCCACCTATAAAATGAGGCAAAGTAGTGATAGAAACTATGAAACTGATGAACTTTGAAAACAAAGAAACTAGAGAGAGAATGTTCTCTGTTGTGGTACCCATTTATAATCTTCCCTACCTTTGCCTCCCACTCTCTCTAACCCCTGACAGAAATGTTTTAGAAACAGAAATCAGATCATGTCGCTGCCATTTCAGAGATGCTGTTTAAATTTGTATGGTGACATATAAAGTGCTTAGTGAATTGTTCTCAGCTCCCCTCTCTGATGCTACCACTCACCTAGTGTTGCTCTCATTCCCACCCCTGGCATGTATTACAGCTATACTTGCCCTGTATCTGTTCTTCTAATACAGTAGTTGTCAAAATGTGGTCTCTGGACTAACGCATCAACATTGGTTGGAAATTTGTTAGAAATGCTTCTTTTCACATTTCACATAAACCAGCCCAATCACAGGAAATCTTGGAATCAGACTCAGTGATACTGTGCTCAACAGTTCCTTGAATGCGACTCTGAAACACATGGCTGTCAAGTCCATCTTTTTGTAGGTTATTCCCCACTCACTTACCCTTGATTGGCTTTTTTATATCTTAAATTTGTGGAAAACTTTGCTCAACATTGAATGTAAAGTAGCTGTAACTTGTTTTTTTCTATCACATCTTTTGTATATTACTTTTTGTTGGCCTGGGGTCTGTGAGGGGGCGTGTGTGATATCTCTTCTTTCCAACAGATGTTATGTTCTTGTTGAGTGGTGGTTTTTTTTTTTTTTTTTTTTTTTTGGCCCAGTGACTGAATAGTGGTTATCAAAAACAGATACACAGTAAATACTCATTGAACAAGTCAATGTAGTTATAATCTCCTTTATTTTTATACTCCCTAGGACAGCCTTATAAAGCAACTAAATTGCTGTCTGTGGGCAGAATATTTTTTTATTGTGATTCAGTAAGGAAATATATAGGCAAACAAAAACATGTATATTCTAACCTGTATTTTCTATGTTTCTTATATGAACTTCTCCATCTATTTTGAAAGTTGATTATTTTATAAGATTTAATATTCTTTTTGTTTTAAAGATTTTTTTTTAATTTTTTTTATTGGAAAGGCAGATATACAGAGAGGAGAGACAGAGAGGAAGATCTTCCATCCGATGATTCACTCCCCAAATGAGCACAACGGGCCGATACTTTGCCGATCCGAAGCCAGGAGCCTCTTCCGGGTCTCCCACGCGCGTGCAGGGTACCAAAGCTTTTCAGGGTCTCCCATGCGGGTACAGGGTCCCAAAGCTTTGGGCCGTCCTCGACTGCTTTTCCCGGGCCACAGGCAGGGAGCTGGAAGGGAAGCGGGGCTGCCGGGATTAGAACCGGCACCCATATGGGATCCCGGGCGTGCAAGGCGAGGACCTTAACCACTGCGCCACCGTGCCGGGCCCAGATTTAATATTTTTAATTTTTTTTTTTAGATTTATTTCTGTTATTTCAGAGTTAGAATTACAATGAGAAAAGAGGAGAGACAGATTTTCCGTCCATTGGTTCACTCCCAAAATGGCCACCATGGCCAGAGATGGGTTGATTAAGGCTGGGAGCCCGAGTTTCTTTGACATCTCCCACGGGAATGTAGGGGCTGTAGGATTTGGGCCATGCTCTGCTTCTTTCCCATACCATTTGCAGGAAGCTGGATTGGAAGTGGAGTATCTGGGACATGAACCCCTTGCCATTTGGGTTGCTGGCACCAAGGGGTTAGTGTGTTGTGCCAATGCTCTGGTTCCCAAGATTCTCATATTCTTCATCAACAAGCCTGAACCAGGGAAGGCACAGGCAACTTTGGAGAAATGTTCTTCATTATGTGTTAAGGCATTTGCCCGTATCTCCTATGATTTGTATGAGGATTAGAAGACCTTATGTTGAGCCTCCAGTACTCTTTTCCTTTACTCCCGTGCCCTACTCCTGGCTCTTAGGCAGCCAGTAAGAAAGGATCAGGATCAGGCCATGTGGCTCTTGGTACTTTTTTTTTTTAAGTACTCATCTGTGTTACTGCAAGAAGAAGTTCTTGTAAGAAGGATCTTACTCTAAGGTTCAGAGTCGCCTTGTCTTGCCACCGTGTTCTTAATGTTTGATAAGCCATTGTTTTACCTCATTGTCAGCTATGGTAGAGGAGTTAACTGTATTTTAGGTGACATAGTATTCAGAGCAGGTTAGTTGATTTTAAAATTTCTTGATTGCTACCTGTAAAAATATAGTCCTAGTAACAGAAGGCTTGTGTGTCATGAAGATTATGTCCTTAGCCTATTATCAGAGCTCTTCCTTAGTAGTTTCAGGACGGGCCCAGTGCAGTAGCCTAGAAACTAAAGTCCTCGCCTTGTATATGCTGGGATCCCATATGGCCACTGATTCTAATCCCGGTGGACCCGCTTCCCATCCAACTCCATGCTTGTGGCCTGGGAGAGGAGTCAAGGACGGCCCAGAGCCTTGGAACACTGCATCCTCATGGGAGAACTGGAGGAAGTTCTGGGCTCCTGGCTTTGAATGGTGCAGTTCCAGCCATTGAGACCACTTGGGGAGTGAATCAACGGATGGAAAATCTTCCTCTCTTCCTCTCTACGTATCTGACTTTCCAATAAAAAATAAATAAACAAAACCTAAAAAAAAAAAAGTAGAAGGATTCAGGCTGGAGAGATGGCTGAGTGGCTAGATCTTCACCTTGCACATCCTGTGTCCCATGTAGTCGCCAGTTTATATCCCAGCTGTTCCACTTTCCATCCAGGATTTTCTTCTCTGTCTCTCCTAAGTCTTTAGAAGCAGTTGTAAGTGTCCTGTGAATATTACAAAAACACATCCTTTCTCATTTATAACTAATATTTCATTGTTGTGCTTTTAGAAGGTTTCCTCATGAATAATGAGTTTGCAGTTGTTTAAAAGCTCTCATATTTGGGCTGGCATTGTGGCATACTAGGTTAATCTATAACGTTTGTAACTGGCATCCCACATGGGCACCAGTTTGGAGGCCCAGCTGCTTCAGTTACAATCCAGGTCCTTGCTAATGTGCCTAGAAAAGCAACAGAAGATGGCCCTGGTACTTGTGCTCCTGCTCCTCATATGGGAGACTCATGCATTTCCCACATCTAGGCTCTTGTCTGTCTGAGCCCGAGCAGCTGTGGTCATTGGGTAGTGAACTAGCAGGGTGGAAGGTATCTCCCACTCCTCCTGTGTAATACTTCTGAAATATAAATCTTTGAAAAAAAATGTGAAAAGTTTAATCTTGCTGGGATAATTCCAGACCCTTGTTGATCTGTACCTTAGTATTTCTCTTTGATTCACCAGTTAAGGTATTATTTTGAATGTCTGACAGATGTTAATGTTAATTCATTTGGGACAAGGGCATGCATTTTAATGCTATAGCATGCTTAATCATAAGGCAAATACTAGGTAGTAAATTGGAGAAATGTAGAAACAAATTTTGGCAGATAATAAGCAAATTGACAAAAAATAGTTTTATTAGTTTTGCAATTATTAGCTAACTGATTATGGAAGTGAATAAGCTTCAAGTATTAAAATATTTTCTATATGATGTGCTTTCTTAGAAATCATTTTAATCTAAGTATCTTATAATCAAGGAAATGAACTGTTACAACTTCCTGTTGTGTTTTTGTTTGTTTTCTCCTTGCGGTTCCTGTGTTCCTGAATCTTGGGCTGATGATGGAATGATTTTGGATGCTGTGAACCACAGAGCCTATCGTGAAGAATGGCAGACCTCCAACGTCTCACAGTGTGCATTCCTTCCTCCACCAGTACACAGGGTCGTTCAAGAAGCCCCCATTGCGGAGACCACACAGCGTCATTGGAGGAAGCCTGGGCTCCTTCATGGCAATGCCCAGAAATGGAAGTAGATTGGGTAATTTGGTTATTTGTCTATTACATGTAACTTTGTGCTGGTGCGCAATGTGTACCTAGTTAGGTTTCAGCTGTATGGAAGTCACTCATCCATTACTATCTGATTTCTTCTGTCAGATAAAAATCAAGTTGGGAGTAGGAGAAATAGCAGAAAGATGGAAAGTTCTGAACAGATAAAAGTATTAATACAGCAGCGAAATAATACTAAAAACATCTACCCATGAAGGAAACAAACTTCCTAAGAAATGAATGCAGGATTTCAGATTGAGTGGCAGGTTAGGAAGGTGCTAAATTCAGGCTCATACCTTATTAACTCTTAAGATTACCATGTGATACAGTATGATAATTAGCATATATGATTATCATTAAAATTCTTATTCTATCACTGAGTCTTTTTAAATGTCCAGAAGCAATATATGTCTACAATTTTCCGTGTTTATATCTCCAACCTACTTTGAAGGTGTCTTGTTACTGTGTTTTAATTTTTAAAATCTTTTTAACCCTAACTGTTACCATCTAACAGATAATGTTTTCTTAAGTTCTTGAGGATTTTACCTTGCTGTTTACTTAATTTGGCTACTATGGCCATGACAGATTATTTCCTTATGTTTTATAGTTTGGGTATTATGTATTTATCCACATTGAACGCCTTTAGCCTTGTAGAGGTTCAAGCTTATTCAAGAGAAACGATTGTTAAAATTTCAGGAATTTTACAGGCGGTTTACTAAATATGTTATTAATGAATTATAAATTATGCAAATATATTAAGCTAAATTAACATAAGGAAATGAATAGTCACTACCGCCTAATTATTTTACTTCTTTTTATTTAAGCCATTGTTGTGGTGTTACTTATTACTGTTGTGTCTCTGTAGCCAAAATTCAATATTGTGATGTGCTACTACTGTACCTTTCTTATCGACTGCACATTAAGTGATGTTGTATTTGCAACTTGAAATTAGCCACATGCAGAATATGTATCTCATGGAATTAGAAAACACTGCTGATCATGGTTTAATTTATCTTATACCTTGTCAGGATCAGGAGCTTGGCAGATTCTTTCTATAAAGAGCCAGCTAGTAACTTTTTAGAGTTTATGAATAAATGTTCCTTGTTGCATATCCCTTTGTTTAGTGTACCTTTTAAAATGTAAAAAAACAGTTTAAGCTGAGACCGCATACAGAACTAAACCATGCTTGTTCTTTGTTCTTGGCCTGGACTTACACTTATGAAAAAATTAGTAAGTCAGGTAAAATTTAAGTGTTTCTTTACATTGGGAATGACACAGAAATTGCACATGTAAATATTCCTCTAGTTCTCAAAAACTAGTAACTGGTTCAGCAAATAGGTTCCGCACATGCTGAAAAGTGAATGATGTTCTGACGTAAGCTTTCACTGTTTCCTTGTTGTGTTGATGCACATGACAATATCAACCTATATTTCTGTTGAAACTAGACTTTGTTAATGGTGCAAGTAATTTCTTGTTTGAATCATATGGTACTGACGTTCGTTAATGGCCTGAGATTAATAAACTTTTTCTGTAGTCCTTATGCAGCAGGGCAGATTTTTTAAGTCTGCCTTTAAGAAAGAGATGTAGCACTTGGAGAATGGGTGTTGCTAAGGAAAGGTCTCCCAACTCAGACACGCAAGGCTTCATCTTTTATCCCAGTGTAGCAGGTAAAGCCAAGTACCTTCTTATCAAGATGAGCAACTGCTCGCAAGGAACAGAATCCATTTATGCATGAGTGCTCTAGGTTTTCAGTTCTCTGTTTCTGCTTCCTGGGTATTTCCCACATGGTCTTGCAAACTCAGCTGAGCAGTTTTTACAGTATTATATTTTTGGTCAAAATTTTGTATGAAAGGAAGTTTTTCAGATTTTGCTAGCAGAGGAAGGTATGATTAAATCATTAACAATATTTTAAAAGTGTGACAGAAAAGAATGTATGTGGGTTAAAATAACAAATTTTACTAGATTAGAAATCAATCATCAGTATATTAACTTTTTCTGCTGTGTTAATCTTGAACACATTTGAGCATGAATATTTTCTAAAATTACATTTTGAGCTATTAGTATTGCCATTTACAAACTGCTTATAAGTGTGAATTGAAATTTTCTCAATTTTGAGTTTCCAAGATTTATTTTTGATGAGAATTTTAAGTTTTTTTTTCATCATTTAAGCAATTCTCATATTCTTGTAAGTTAATATTGTTTAAGAGCTTATATTTAAAAACTGCTTTCAAATACCTTACACATAAATATTTCATATAGCATTTCATTGGGAGATGAGTTCAAATTATCTCTAATTCATTCCTTGATTTTTACTTAATATTTAATTCATTTGAATATGTATTGAATGCATTTTAAGTGCTAGGCAGTTTTGTACAAAGCTCTTGGAAATACAAAGTTAATAAGCCAGGTCTGTCCCCCAGATCCTAATAATGTAACATGTAATCACACATAATGCTTTTCAGCGAAGTTAGCGTATAGGCACAGTATTCGTCTGTAGTTGAGATTGCAAAGGATGTCACTCTGGAGGGGAGAAAACATGGGGGCGGGGAGGAGAGACCCCAGTACCTTAAACTGTGTCATAAAATTTAAAAAAAAAGATGTCATAGTATGATGACAAGGGAACATACTTTTGAAGAATAAGCCTCACTTTGTCTGGTTGCTCAGATGGGGAGTGTTCCTCTCTACGGTTGTGGAAAAGCCCAGTGCTGTGAAGGCATTGCATGTGAGATAGCATTGCTGCTTTTTAGGTCAAGAGCGTTGAGGGGAGAAATAGTGGCAGAGGGGCTGGAGCTGGTGTTTGTTTCTAGTCCTTGAAAGTTGGGTTAGAGGATGATTGATGCAAATACATAAGCAAGAATGAGTATGAAGATCTGCATTTTAGTATTTATTATCCTCTCCTATTTGATTTTTTTTCTATTAAAACACACCACAATCTAGTTTGTATTTTTACATCTAACAGACTTTTGAGCTTTTGCAAGGTAGAAACTGGTTTTTATAATTCAGAAGTATTCTGAGAGCCAGCTTTTTGTCTTGTGTATCTGAAGACACATTATTTAATGAAATAATAACTGAACTAAGAGGGGAAATACCAAGTTTCTATTCCAGATCTGCCTCTTAGCTATGTGACCTTTGTAAAGTCATTTAACCTTTCAGTTTTAGCTCCCAGATCTTGAAAATGAGAGTGCTGATTAATTCTCAAGCATTATTTTAACTCTGTAGTTTACTGCCCAGGTGTTAACTTGAGCGCCAATTTCTTCATAATCCGAGCAAGTAGAATAGAATTTGTTACCTTCTTTTAAGACACTTGAGCTGTGTTCTGGTCCATTAAATATACATTCATCCAGAATGTAAAAGACATTTGTGTTATCTATGATTTTCACATGTTGACTTGCCTCCATCTTCCCCTTAATGATGACATGTGATATAGATACGGTATATTCTTTTAAGATCAGTCTCTTGCTTTCTGATACAGACATTGTTCATGAAAATCTAAAAATGGGATCAGATGGTGAGAGTGACCAAGCATCGGGGACATCGTCTGATGAAGTGCAGTCACCTACTGGTGTTTGTCTCAGAAATCGGATACATAGACGGATCTCAATGGAGGTAAGAATTAAAAAACAAACAAACCTGTATTATCTGTGTGTGTTTGTGTGTGTGTGTGTGTATATATATGTGAATTCTCATTTGAAAATTCCATGGAAACAGATGATACTTGTAGAAGTTGTATAAGTTTTTTCTTTTTTCTTTTTTTTTTTTTTTTAAGATTTATTATTGCAAAGTCAGATATACAGAGAAGAAGATCTTCCGTTCTCTGATTTCACTCCCCAGGTGACCGCAATGGCCTGTACTGCGCCAAATCTAAGCCAGGAGCCAGGAAATTTCTTCCTGGTCTCCCACTTTTGGGTGCAGGGTCCCAAGGCTTTGGGCTTTCCTCAACTGCTTTCCCAGGCCACAGGCAGGGAGCTGGATGAGGCGTGGGCCACCGGGATTAGAACTGTCATACATATGGAATCCCAGTGTGTTCAAGGCAAGGACTTTAGCTGCTAGGCTACCATGATGGGTCTCAATTTCCTTTTTTTCTTATTCTCCCAAAGCCAGATATATATTAAGCATAATTGTTCATATTATGTGAAACACTATTTTAGGTTCCGGGGCAGGAAAAGTGAATTGTCACAGATTCAAGAAATCTAGGATAGTACTTTTTAGCAAATTCTTCTTTACAAAAGATTACTTTAATTGCATTTTGAGATTCATATGAGTAGTTTACTCTATAAGTTCAAATTTAAAGGATGTGAATAAAATAAATGACTTCCCCTATTTTTATATTTTAAATATGTGGGTATCACTGCCTTTGTAATTTATTATATCTACGAGTCCCTGTAGTATATGTGAGTTATTTTTCCATATGAAAGAATTATACATTCATTTTAGTTCCTTATTATGCCAGAACCCTTGCCGGAGTCCAGTTCCAGCTGAGTTTGGAACTTGCAAGGGTGTGTGGATGAGGCGCAAAGAGGAAAGAAAAGACAGACCACTAGGATTTCATGATCATAAGGACAATGTGGGAAAGCTGCCCGCTTTATTGATACAAAATCAGTCAAACTCTGGCTCAAGTTGGGAATTTCTAAGGATAATTCTGCCATTAGTTTTGCCTAGAAACAATAGAAGTTCCTGCTACAATTCTTATCCTACAACTCAATCGTGTATCACAAAGAAAAGGGGAATCTAAAGAATGAGGAAAGGGGCCCTGCGCAGTGGTTAAGGTCCTCGCCTTGCACGCCCGGGATCCCATATGGGCGCCGGTTCTATCCCGGCAGCCCCACTTCCCTTCCTGCTCCCCGCCTGTGGCCTGGGAAAGCAGTTGAGGACAACCCAAAGCTTTGGGACCCTGCACCCGCGTGGGAGACCAGGAAGAGGCTCCTGGTTTCGGAACGGCATAGTATCGGCCCGTTGCGCTCACTTGGGGAGTGAATCATCGGATGGAAGATCTTCCTCTCTGTCTCTCCTCTCTGTATATCTGCCTTTCCAATAAATAAATAAATAAATAAATAGTAAAAAAAAGAATGAGGAAAGAAGGAAAGCCTAAATGTAGGTCCCTTGATTAACATAAGGTCAATGGGGACAGCCAAGACAGTAGGAATAATAGAAGGCCCTTTTGCAAGACACCACCGCCCACATAAACCTCTAAGCTCACACTGAGCAAAAGGCCAGCCCCACTGTAGCAAACAATGCCTGGATGGATTAAAATTCTTCCACAGGGTAGTCCAGTATCCATGCAAAAGAAAGTGGAGCTTTATTCAGGTGATTGTAGAGACATCCTGGGGCGGGGGGAGAGTTCCTTGTGGCCCTGCGTGCTGTGGAACAATACTCTTCACACCTTTGTGTCACATCCCACATCCACTGCACGGACCCTAACAAACCCTGAGAAGTTGATTATGATTTATCATTTTAGCATAGCCTGCACATTAAAACCATTTTCTGAAAAATGTTATGGAATGATTTTTTAAAAAGATTTATGTGAGAACACAGCAGCAGAGAAGGGGTGAGATGGAGAGAGGAAAGGATGGAAGGCTAAGAAAGAGAAGGAGAAATGGAAGACAGACACACTGTGTATCTGCCTATCTGCTGAGTCAGTCCGCAAATGGCCCCGACAGCTAGAAGGGGGCCAGGCCTAAGGGAGAAGCCAGGAACTGCATGTGGGTCTCCCATATGGGTGGCAGGAACACAAGTAGTTGGATTATTTTTACTGCCTTCCTTTACTGGGTCAAGAGTAGGGTGTTGGTCTCAGCGTCATGGCTTAATGGCTGAATGGCTAAATGCTCACCTTGCAAGTACCAGGATCCCGTATGGGCACAGGTTTGTGTCCCGGCTGCTCCACTTCCCACCCAGCTCCCTGCTTGGGTCCCAGCATCCAAGTGAGACCTGGAAGCTCCTGGCTTCAGAGCTGTTCAGCTCTGGCTATTGTGTCTGCTGGGGGAGTGAAGCAGCAGGTGCATCTCTCTCTCTCCAGGTACCTGATCTGCCTTTCCAATAAATAAAACTCTTAAAGAAGTGGTTGGGCCTGGCACAATAGCGTAGCAGCTTAAGTTCTCGTCTTAAACTTGCCGGGATCCCATACGGGAGCTAGTTCTAATCCCAGCGGACCTGCTGCCTCTCCAATATCTCCCTGCTTGTGGCCTGGGAAAGCAGTCCAGGACAGCCCAAAGCCTTGCGACTCTGCACCTGCATGGGAGACCCAGAAAGAAGCTCCCTGGCTCCTGGCTTCGGATTGGCTCAGCTCCAGCAGTTGCTGCCGCTTGGGGAGTGAAGCATTGAATGGAAGATCTTCTCTGTCTTTCCTCGTATATCCACCTTTCCAATTAAAATACATAAATTAAAAAAAAATAAAAATGTAAAGAAGTGGAGTGTTGGGGACTGAAACTAGCACTGAGAAAGGGGAGGCCATTGTTGCAAACTGCAGCTCGCCTCACAGCCAGCCCCAGACCTCTTGATTGACCACATTTTTACTATTAAAATTATTTCTGGGGCTCAGCATGATAGCCTTGTGTCTAAGTGCTCACCTTGCATGTACTGCAATACTGAATGGGCGCCGGTTCCTGTCCTGGCTGCTCTGCTTCCCATCCAGCTCCCTGCCTGTGGCCTGGGAAAGCAGTGGAGGATGACTCAAAGCCTCGAGACCCTGCTATCTGGACGGAGGACCCGGAAAAAGCTCCTGGCTCCTGTTTTTTGGATTGACACAGCTCCAAGCATTGTTTCCACTCTGGCAGTGAATCATCAGATGGAAGATTTTTCTCTCTGTCTCTTCTCTCTGAGTATCTGCCTTTCCAGTAAAAATAAATTTTAAAGAAAAAAATTATTTCTGCATCCATAAAGGAAAAGTTTTCTAACTGATAAATTAACATTTTCAACATTGAAATCAACTTGATTTTTTTTCACTCTATGTGTAATTTTCTTTTGTCTAATGGTTTTGTTAGTAAGATCTGTACCTGAAATTTCTCAGTCTTACAATGAGTTGTTATGTTTTCAGACAAAGGTCACATTCCAGATCATGTGATTTTTATAGTATAGTTTAATATCTAGAAAGGCTTCTTTACCTCTTCCGTGTGTGTGTGTGTGTGTGTGTGTGTGTGTGTGTGTGTGCGCGCTCGTCCATAGACTTATGCCAATCGTACAGCATCTGGTTTGTAATTTCACTGCGATGGGAAAATGATTGGAAACCTTGTGCTAATGGTACACAGTTTGACATTTTCCCTGTGTTGCTAGATAGCGGCAGTGCGTCACAGCTCCCAGTCAGCCATACAGTCAGAAGGGGAAACAATTGATCATCTGCAGTGCTTTATTTTCAGTCTATTCAAGATCAATTTATATTTTTTTCTAATTTTCTTCAGTGCTATGAGAATATATAAAATTAGTATGAGGAGAACCTGTATCTTTTCATTACTTAATTTCAGCATTTTGGAAACATATATCTTTTTACTTAAATCTTGCATATCGCGATAAATATTTATCTAGCGCCTCTGTGTATCTCCATTCTGTTTCATGGTCTGATTACTGCTAAAAGTAAGAGCAGTTAGTTTTTATAGGATTTATAATTCTTGAAATGAGAGTTCCCTGTCAAGTTATGTTTTATATAAAACTGATTATGTTTTGTGATAATCTTCCTTTTTCTACTATTTGCTATAGTTATTTTATGTAAAATCTAAGTTTAATTTACCAGTGAAGAGACAAAGGAATAACTAGAGTTGCAATGGACTTATTTTGTGAAATTGCGTTAGGTACAGTGCTTCAAATAAATACTTGGCCTTTTAGATATTGTACTCATGTAAAATTAGCAGAGATAACTTTACAACTCCAGTGAAACTCTGTGGTTACTTATTGTTAAAATATATGTATGTATGTAAATTTTCAAAAGCCAAGAGTCTTTGTCTTTTTTTTTTTTTTTTGATTACTCTTTCTATTTTTAGGATTTAAATAAACGGTTATCACTGCCTGCAGACATCAGAATACCTGATGGCTATCTTGAAAAGTTGCAGATCAACAGTCCACCATTTGATCAGCCAATGAGCCGACGGTCTCGTAGAGCCTCCCTAGTAAGTTTGTAGTTTCCTATATCTGCACTATTGAATCTGCTTATCTGATTTTTTTTTTTTTTGGCAGAGGAGGGGGAGCTAAATTGATTCATACACCTATTAAATTACTCAGTTTTATTACATTGTCTTTTTCTATTCTTACGGGTTTATTCAAACATACATATATACATTTATATTAGCATATCCTAATATTCAGAGAAATGTGCAGACCATAATTGGGTATTCGGTTTTAAGAATGTTAATATATACATGTAATGTACACATAGAAAGATCATTTAAAAAAAAAACTCTGTCTTAATCCAAAAACTGCCTTCTGCTATCATTTTCTTCACTTGACACTCCACGTTTCCTCAACTGTAGCCATACTGGCTGCCTTGTAACAACAGATTAGTTTCATCCACCAGTGTCATTCCGCTTTGATATTATTTTAATACTATATTTTCAAATATGGTCCCCTTTAATTCTCATTCATATACACATTCTTTATTGTTTTTAAAGTGTTTAATATTTCCTGATATTTTTATTTAAGCTTTCAAACTACATAATCATGGATATATAAATATGTTAAAGTATACTTGATAGAAATATGTAGGGATGCATTTTTAATACAAAGTTTATATGTGTATTACGCAAGTGGTCTTCAAAAAATTCCTGGGAAAGTCTATATTATTAAAAAAACTTTGTGGGAAGTTAGAACTCTTGTCATCAAAATAAACTTACCTTTTAACTCAGTTTTCTGTGAAGTTTTTGAAGTGCCTGTATATGCTATGTGTTCCAGTATGCATTATTTTTGTCGTTGGCTCTTTGTGCTCAGTATTAACTTTGAATTCCATCTGTTGCATGTCAGAATGGCTCATTTATTCTTGTTGGTGTCCAGTATTCTATTATATGAGTGTATTGTACTGTTTGGTATATTATTCGTTGCTTCCTGTTTCCTACTGATAGTCATTCAGATTATTTTCATTTTTTCCCCTAATATCAAATAGTGCTTGTATCACCATTCTTGTGCATGTATTTTGTTACTGTATGTAAGCATCTCACTTGGATGCATATGTAGGAACAGAATTGTTGGTTTGTGCTGTATGCAAATGTTTGGCTTTTGTAGAAAACTGTCAAAGCAGGTTTCTCAAGCAGTTGTACCAATTTATGCTTTTGTCATACTGTGTGATAGTTCTGGTTGCTCTCCTTGCCAATTTTTTATTCTGATTTGGTTTTTTTTTGTTTGTTTATTTTATGGCAGATAAATGGTGGGCTGTCACTATGCTTTTATATTGCATTTCTCAGATGACTAAGTTAAGCTCCTGTTTAGTATGCATTGGTCTTTTAAATATACTCGTGACTTACCACCTAAATCTGTTGCTTCTTTTCTGCTAAGTTTGTACAATTTTTTGATTTATAAGAATTCTTTATATGTTCTGTATAAAGGATATTTTTCAGGTACATACTTGGGAAGTATCTTTTGATTATTTATGTGGCACTGATCTATTGTTTACTTAAAGGCAGGTTTCTTTGTTGCATTATCACCTGCAGCATATCCTCAGGTGATGATTTGTGTGAGGATCTCTTGCGTGACTGAGTGAGGTGAGATTCCTAGAAAGTGCTGTGGGCCAACAAGAGACGGTAGCCAGTGAGATGTCTCTGCAAGTTCGAAGCTTTTAGAGGGAGTAATAGTTGACCTGGTCTTAGAGAGATGGGTAGCAATTTGTCAGGTTCAGAATCAGTCTATAAATAAAGGGTGTTCTAAGCAGAGGAACATTCTTCATATCTGTCTATCTATCTACATCCATATATATGTTATGTTGAGGAAATATTACATAATGAGTACATACAGACTAATATTTAGAAAAAATATGACTTAAAAGGATAGGAAGCATCCACACTGTAAAGTTAATGTGTCAGCAAAAAAAAAAACAAGTCTGGCCAAAGAGTCTGGACTTTATCCTGGGGAATGGAAGGACATCAGAGGTATTTGTTTAAACAAGTGCTGGCTTGATCACACTTTTATTATGTTTCCCAATTCTTTCTCCAGACTAGGGAAATTTTCCCTTATTATTTCATTGAATGCACCTTTAATCCCAGTTTGTCTTTCTGCACCTTCTGGGACCCCCATAACTCTTATATTTGGTCTTTTTACTAGTGTCTTTCAATTCTTGAATACTTTTTTTTTGGCCTGATCCAGCTCTGCTTTCAGCTTTTTGTTTGTGTCCCTCTGGTGACAGGAAATATCTTCTAATTTTGAGATTCTTTCTTCTGCTTGCTTCATTCTGTTTTGGATACTCTCCTTTGTACTTTTAATTTGCTCCACTGTATTCTTAATTTCTGATGTATCAGCTTTCATTTGGTTCATTTCCAGCTGACATAGTCCTTGAATTCCCAGACTTGTCCTGCTGCAAGGTTTTGGTGGCAGGATGGAGCTAGGACTTTAATCCAGTTCCCAAGGTTCCCTCATAGTGTACTCACCCTGAGAGAAGATTCCTCTTGGGCCCAGAGAAAGCCAAGGACTCAGTCACTGCCTTTCAGCAGTGGCTTTGGCCTGAGTCCCGGATCCGGCCGGGCAGGGGCACTCCCCACAGCCGCCACACTGCAGGGCTGTCATACTTTCTGTATCAGTATTTAAAACTTCACTTCTCTGTTGATTTACTTTCTATTACTTGAACTAAAATGCCCAGGAAAATCTTCTTGTGGGGGGAAAAAATTTATTTGGATGCTGTAGTTAAGGATTAGGCAGCCCCAGAACCAGTCCCTGGTGGAGTTTGATCATGGCAGGTGTGCCAAGAATCCGGGAAAAGCCTGAACTTAAATTCAGATCATCAATTCTTTGGAGAACGTGCTTCTAGTGACCTAAAGATTTGCCACCAGACCAACTCTAATATGCTATAATTAGATTGTTTTCACCCTTAGTCCATCAACCATTAACATGAAAACATCAGAATTTAGACATTGTATGAGTTTTGGGCAACAAGTCCTACTTAAACCCATAATAACTTATATTTGGAAGGTGTCTATTGTGGAAGCTACACTTCATTATTCTGTATAGCTACTGATCACAGAAAGCAAAGATTTAATACCTAGTCACATACAAGACGATAAGCATTTAATGAAGAACACTGTATGCCTGTGGAAAAATGTAAAGTGTAACATAGGACCACTATTGAGCAAAGTGTCAATTTGCCAGGATTCAATGAAGTACTCTTAGGCATACAATTGTCACGTGGCTTTTAATATTGTATTGTATTTTTAATATTGTAGTAACAAAAGAGTAGAAACAATTTCTCAGCAGTTTTTAACATGCAGCTTTGGATAGTTGACCCTGTTCTCCAAAGTGGAGATTGATACCAGGTCTGATCAGAGATGACTTTAATTTAATTGCCTTAACCTCTAGAGTTTCGCCAAAACATGAGATTAATGATCCAAGATAATTTGTATCATTTGAGAAATGAAGTTGTATGTAAAAGAATATTGTTTCCTTTCACTGTATTTTGAGTATTTGCACCATTCTAAGCAAGAAGTGAGTCTTACTGTAGATTGCTGTTATATTTTCTCATGTCTGCATTAGGGTACTAGAAACAAATCATCAGTTCCACGAAGACTGGTAAAATTTAAAGGCAAGAGTTTTGAGAGCACACTTTTATCACATTAAAACCTGTTGCTTCTGTGTGTGTGTATGAGAGACTAGAATTAGGCTTACTTTGCTTTTGTGTTTGTTATTTCCTGATCACAAAGTATGATTTTCAGTTGCAATTTTCTTATGATTTGATTTCAGAATGTGAAACAAATAGTCTTTTGTTATGTGCAAGGCTCACTAGGGAAATTAGAGGTTAATGAACGAAAAAAATGTAGGATCTTTATTCTGCAATTTTTAAAATATCAACTAATTGTACTTGATTAAAATTTTTGGTATCTTAAAATACTTGTATTGTCTTAAAATTTTAGTTGTTTTAAATCATGTTTTTCATAGCAGAAATTTACCTGATCTATATAAAATGTGGGTTAACAATTTGAATTGCAAATTTTGATGTTGTAACATTTGGTATATTTTGAAAGCCGGCAGATGTTCTGCAATTTTATTGTCAGATGTTTCTATTTTTAGACACTAGAGTAGGAGAGCCTCAGAAGTGGAAGAGATTAATTAAAATTTTAAGAACAAATCCTAAATTTATAATTGTTTGCTTTCAGTCAGAAATTGGGTTTGGGAAAATGGAAACCTACATCAAATTGGAAAAGCTTGGAGAGGTGAGTAAATGTTTCAAAGGTGTAAGCCATGTTTTCTTCCTTGTTTAACATCTAAATTCTTGTGTGTGTTTGCGGTTTTTTTCTAACCCATATAAAAATTGTAAAATTTACTGTTGTTTAGAACATTGCGTTTTATTTTGAAAAAGCAAGAAAAATCCCATCAGTTTTAGAGGAAATAAGTATTTTAATTGAAATACAGTGTAGTGCACTGTCATGGTAATAAAATAGGCATCTGTTTGTTAGTTTTAATCTGTCAGTCTACTGTCTGTTGTCACAAACCTTAAAAAATAAAAATATTCTCTTTGAGGTTTTTTTTTATTTGAAAGAAGGATCAGTTTATTAACCATGGAGATAATGTATTTTTAAAAATTTTTGAATTATATGGTATAATTTTGTATAGGCTGGGATTGCCCCCAAACTCCCGCCCCCCATCAGATTTTTCCGTTTTTGTTACAATAGTGTAGTCCTTCATAAGGAATCACAATTCTGTCAGTCTCTTATTAAAAGTGTACACCGACATTGTTGGTACAGACATCAGTCCAGCATCCTATTGTCTACACATTTCCAACAGTTTCATTGGGAATCCATCTTTCATCTGAATGCAGGGATGCATGTTCCAATATACCCCCACATCTGTATATGATAGACCCCAGTACTCCATCACTATGCATTACCATAAGTGAGAAGCCATGAAACAAGGTCAACGACTGGTATGAGTTAGAACTGCCGCAACAACATCAGCAACATCAACAACAAATTACAGCACCATGAAAAAAAGAACCCGTCACTGAATAACCAACACATGAGTGACAAAAAGTCTCTTTGAGATTTTAAAAGCACATTTTACTGAAGGCTAAGGAAATTCTTGGAACCTTGACTTTTTTAACTTGTAGTACTACTTGTTTAGAAATGTGAAACCAAAAAAATATATATATATATAGAGAGAGAGTTGGGTGATAGGAAAGCATTAAGGGAACTCACTCTGAAGGCTATCCCTGGCAATGACAGATGCCTGTAAAAACCAAAAAAGTGTTTTAGTATATTTATTTTTTGTTTGAGAGACAAGAGACAGACGTCCCATTTACTGGGTCACCACTCCAAATGCCTAAAGCACTGGAGGCTGGGTTAGGGCTGAAGCTGGAACCACAGCAAAAGCCAGAAACTGGAAACCAGGTCTCCTGGGAGGGTGGAGGAACTCAGATGTGTGAGCTGTCCCTACTGCCCTCACAGTCTGCATTGATGGGCAGGTGTAGTCTTGAGCTCTAGCCTACAGGAGAACCCAGAGTCCCAGTGTGAGATCTGGGATTCAAGCACTAGAGTAAACACTTGCTCCACAGTGTTTTACAAATCTGGAAATATGGGTATGGGTGGAAGTTTAGTGAGTTAGCAATATGTTAATTGCATCTTCAGTTTTTAATTAGTTGTTCAAATTGCTATCTACTAAACGCCATATCAAGTAAAGGAGTTTCCATTTTGAAGCTGCTAATCCAACTTTTAATCAGAAGTAAAATATAAAATGTAAAGATTCTAGTTTTGTATTGTTGAGGCATTGTATCATTTTGCATAAGGATGGAAGCTGTATATATGGAATTAAAAGTCCTTTTTGCTCTAAGAAAAACCAGGGCTATCATTGATGAGTTTTACCAGGTGGAACTTAACTACTGTAATTAGGAATTAGAAATTAATTTAGGGTTCTTGGGTATATTGACTGTTTTAGATGGGCCATGCTATTATGTTTTTAATGTGTCCTTCAAAAATGTATTTTAAAGGGTACATATGCAACAGTATATAAAGGAAGAAGTAAACTGACAGAAAATTTGGTGGCATTAAAAGAGATCCGACTGGAGCATGAAGAAGGTGCACCGTGCACAGCTATAAGAGAAGGTATACCATGTTAACATTCTGAGAGCAAAGCAGCATAAGAAGCAACTAGCCAAGATGTAGAAATAATAGGTGATTAAAAGACATAATTAGACCTTAATAGAGTTGATTTAAACACAACAGAAAGGAACCAACCGAATTACTGTAAACCTTATAAAAATATTTTGAAGTCGTTATAAAACATTGTCATAGTGTTTTTGATACAAGGAGATATTTGACATAGGGAAGTGTTTATATACATTGATAGCTCATGGGGAATGTGACACCATGGATAAAAATAAGAAATAAAAGCACATGAACATTATTCTGTTTTATGAGAAAATGGATATTTAGAAAATGATTTGTGATAACTGATTAGGAATATGGAAGAGAAAAGGAACCTTGTGCTTTATCTCTAAATTAATCAGGTGATGCAGAGAGTATTAATATTGAAGACAGTTTTAAGTATAAGAATATCAAATGGTGACATAAACATTTCCACTTTAATTTCATTAATGTTTCTACTGCTCATCCTCTTAATAAGTTATTATTTTAAACTTAGGAAAATCTTAAATCTAGTCTATTAGTATTAAAAAAAAACCTAACCTTTTAATAAAGACTGATTACCACAGACTGAATAATCAACTTTCTTTTCTGTTTTGCAGTTTCACTATTAAAGGATTTAAAACATGCAAATATAGTAACCTTACATGATATTGTTCACACAGATAAATCTTTAACTCTGGTCTTTGAATATCTGGTAAGCATTTAATGAAAATTCAGTATTTAATTTTGCTTTAATAGAGCATAGCAAATTGGAGTTTTTAGCGGCCTTAGGACATTATTGTTCAACTATTCATATTCAGCTAAATAGGGTACACGTCGTGCCTTTCCTTGGAAAACAACTTAATTTGAAAAATTAAATGCTATTAAGTAAATCAGTTATGCATTCTGAAAACCATGCATTGCGTATTGAAGTACTGTGTTTTTTTAGGATAAAGACCTAAAACAGTATATGGATGACTGTGGAAACATCATGAGTATGCACAATGTGAAGGTATGTTTTAACTGTAATTTTAAACTGGTGCAAAGCATAAATAAACTACATTACATAATGAGGTATTCTGGCTTCATAATTATTCTTCAGCATTTTCTGCTAGACACTTTAATTTGTTATTTTCTGTATATATATTTACTCAGAGCTTCTGTTTCCACCTTATCTTTTGTAGAATCAGTCCTTCTGATAGAATGGCTTCATTATAAAATATTGTAGAATTTACTTTTGATGTTACCTTTCACATGCTTTTACAATGTGTTTTCTGAAATGTAGAATTTACTTCAAGATGTATTCTGCTTTAAACATCTGAACATTTAAAATGGGTACAAATGGTAGATGAAATCTGCAAAAAGCCTTATTCAGATAGCAATCTTCTATATTTTAAATGATATTTAACAGCTTTTCAAGATACCAGTCTAATTGGTCAAGTCAGAAATCTGCAGATAATACAGATGACTGGAAATACTAATCTGGTCTGTCAGGAGGAAAAATAAAATAATTTTTATGTTATTAGTTCTCAAAATGGTGTGTGATGAAACTGAGAAATTACTACATATATATATATATATATATATATTAACTAAGTGATATACTTCTGATTTAGTTAATAAAGACCTACGCAAATTTGTCAAAAGTTTATGATAACCTGTTCTGGCAAAAAGGTTGTCCTAGCTGTGTTTGGGATGTTTCTAATTCTATAGGTAGTAACTTTAAATTTGCATTTTTTGAAAGCAAGTTTAGCAGATAATAACAGCCAATTTATGTTTCTAAACGAAACCTTAGAACATATGGACAACACATTGCCAAGATTTTTAGAGTAATACTTTAATTGCATTTTTATATACATTCTATGAATTGTTTTTTTTTATCATATATTGCATTTTGTAAGATCTTATGATTGTGATTTATGGGTCTTTGTGGCTTATTAGTATTTGCAATAATTTTCAAAGAAAAAAGTCTTATCATAATTTTCTAAATGTTTGAAAAGTGAGTATCTTGCAAGCAAAATCAGCTTAGATCAGAAAACATTTTATTGCTTGTTTCTGTTGCCTTTTTACTTTTCAGACATAAAATATAATAAATATATTGATGAGAAAACTTACAGTTTTCAAAACACAAACATATGTAGAGCCTAGTCATTGTGCTGTTCAGAACTCGTGCTGGGCCTGTCATTTATGTGCTGCCTTGGCTTGTTCTCAGTGTTCTTAAGCCTTTTCTCACCAGTGAGTAAACTGAGGACATGCTCTTGAATCCTCTGTGTTTGAGGCCTTTTTTTTTCTAACCCCCAGAGTTGAATGTTCCATATTCCCCTTTACACCGAAATTCTCAACAGAAGCTCCACCATTAGCCCTACAGGAATTGCTTTCTACAAGTCATTCAGAACATTATAGTGCTGAGGCTCCTTTCTGAATCACAGATTTTAGAAGCTGAGTAGGAGGTGCTGAAAGTAAAGTATCCAGGAGGTGGGTGATGGAAAGCTGATTTAGTTATTTTTGTACCAAGTAGTTTGCCAGAGCTATGTAGCATCATTCTTTTGATAGCCCTGACTTTTTATAAAGGCAGTTCTGGTGCTTTACAAGATCAGGTTTGCAAAAGACTTTAAAGATCGGGTGCTTTCTGTGGGTGATTAGGAAGGTGAGTGGCAGAGATTGGTTGGTTGTTCTGCCTGAGTTTTACAACCAAACTGTGAACCTTACAGGCCTCTAAGTTTATGAGAAAGTATTTCAACTCATTTTCTGTAAAACAAACTATTATGACTGAGAAATTTAATTTGTTTTCATAGATACCCTAGATTAAGAAATAGTGAGAATCTTCAAATTGAATGATAAACTAAAAATTTGAAACCAGCCATATAAGTCAAAGGCATTAAAGTTTAGGATACAGTTAAATTTTTTCCCTTTATTGTTGACAGATTGTTTTGCTTAGCAGAATTTAAGGATATTCCAAAATATATTTCATTATTTGTAAGACTAATGCTTATTTGTTTATTTTTGTAGCTGTTTCTGTACCAAATATTACGTGGTCTGGCTTATTGCCACAGAAGGAAAGTGTTGCATCGAGACTTGAAACCACAGAATCTCCTCATTAATGAGAAAGGAGAGTTAAAGCTTGCGGATTTTGGTATGGAATATATGAGCTATTTATAAGTATTTTCAGGATGTTCACTTTTACAGAACAGTCTTTGTCACAATCTGCTATCACTTTTATGTAGAGTGGAAATTTTCTCAAACTCGGGGAATAAGATGTTTGGCAGAACTTGGGTGGGTGATTTTTGTTGGTGATTAGCAGCAAAGACTGAAAGGCACAGGCTCTTGTGTAGTCCATAAATACTGAGGGCTTCTGAGGAGTCTTCAAAGGTAAAATGTGTTATAAAAATTATAATGTTAAACAGTATTTGCTTAATTTTAATGATAATCATGCCAATAGGAAGTAAGCCTACTGGTTCCTTAATAAAGTTCAAGGCAGTGCCACTATTGTGCTGTTCACCTATATGTATTTGTAGGGGGAAAAGTGTAATAAAGAGACATAAATGTGTTTGATATATTGTGATGCATATGTATATAATTATTTTTAGTAAAATACCTAAGGAAACCTCTTAGAAGGAGGAAAAATATTTATTTCACCTTGTAGTGTATAGCTTTGTATTCTTAGATCAGGAACTTGCACCAGTCTGAACACTTGGAGAGATCAAAAAACAGGTCAGGAAACAGACGCAGAGAACATGTTCTTCCACTCCTGTGGTCTCCCCTTACATTGCCATCATGATTGAGTCATAATCCCCAACCCCAGCATCCTGATCTGATCCGTTCACTCCCAAATGCCTTACCTTCAGGTGCCATAAGTGAGTCAAACATTCACCTCTGTCCATCAACCATTAATCTCTTAGCCATTAAGCTGTAAACATCTGCCTGTGTTTGGGGGGCCAGACCCTTCTCAGGCCATAATATGTATGTATCAAAGCAACATACTACAGTGGCTTGAATTGTACAAAAGTAGATGTGGAACCTAACTGTCTTCTATTAAAATAAATCTTCAAGATATAAAAATGTAAGGGTGGGAAAAAAATTAAAAAAAAAAAATGTAAGCATTGGGCCCGATGCTGTGACCTAAAATGCTTTCTGATCTGAGCTGATTTTGCTTAGATCAAGTCGTCACCTTGAACGCACTGGGATCCCATATGGATGCTGGTTCTAATCCTGGCAGTCCCACTTCCCATCCAGCTCCCTGCTTGTGGCCTGGGAAAGCAGCCGAGGATGACCCAAAGCCTTGAGACCCTGCACCTGCTTGGGAGACCTGGAAGGAGTTCCTGGCTCCTGGCTTCAGATTTGGTGCAGCACAGGCCATTGTAGTCACCAGGGGAGTGAAATCAGAGGACAGAAGATCTTCCTCTCTGTGTATCTGACTTTGCAATGAAAATAAATAAATTTTTAGAAAAAGAAAGTGTAGGGGTTGATGCCACTTGGGACACCCATGTATCTAGGAGAGTGCTTGGATTTGAATCCAGACTGCACTCTCAATTCTTGTTATCTGCTAATGGGTCACTTTGGGAGGCAGCGGATGGTGGTGGTGTGTGGCGGTAATGCTGCTGCCTGCAATGCCACCATCCCATAGGAGCTTCGGGTTGAGTCTTGGTTGCTCCACTTCTGATCCAGTTCCCAGCTTATTGCATGGGAAAGTAGCAGAAGATGACTCAAAGTGCTTTAGTCCCTTCAGCCATGTAGGAGTCCTGGAAGAAGCTCTCCAGTCTGGCCCTGACCTGGCCATTGTGGCCAATGGGGAGTGAGCCAGAGTGCAGGAAATCTCTGAATTTCAAAATCTGTCTCTCCACACCCCCTTCTTTCCTTCCTTGTTTCTTCCCCTTCCCCTCAGCTTCATAATTGTGCTTCTCAAATAAGTAAATAAAAACAATTTTATAGAAGTGTTTAGGTGTCTGCTACCCACATGGGAGACCTGATTTGAGTGTGCCTACTTTTGGCCTGACCGGCCCCAGCTGTTGCCAGCATTAGGGAAAATGGGCCAGGAACAATTAACCAACAAATAGGAGTTTTCCTTCTCTTTGCCTCCTGTTTTCTGTTTCCTTGCCTTTCCGGTAATATAAAGCAGCTTTTAAAATATGGAATAGTTCTTGCAAATTTTTGTTTTATTTTGAAGAAAAATTTTTATGGAATGTTGTTTTATTTTGGAAAAATTTTTTATGGGGTCTCATATGGATGCTGGTTCTAATCCTGGCAGCCCCACTTCCTATCCAGCTCTCTGCTTGTGGCCTGGGAAAGCAATGAAGGACGGCCCAAAGCCTTGGGACCCTGCACCTGTGTGGTGTTTTAATGTGTATCTAACTTTTTTGTCTTGTACTATGGTAAATATCAGTAATTATAGGAACTCAGATATATTCATTTTAAACAGTATAAAATGAGGAATAAACTTTTAAATGAATGCTTATGCTCTTAAAATTTTAATTAATAGTTACTTACCTATATAGCTTTAGTAATATGATTTTAAGTAAACTTACAAACCCTTTGCTTCTAGGAAGTGAAAGAATATTTTTTTTGAAATTTGTAGATCATCTTTGAAATGTTTATATTCAACTTTCTGAGCATTTAAATACTCGTAATAGATTAGTTTTCCAGAGTCTGAGAAATCTGCCATAATTAGCATATATGATTTTCCATAAATGATTTTAGTTTTACTTTGGAGAAATTTATTAAATTTGATAAATATGAGCATATCAGGTATTACCTTGTTCTCAAACATTAAAATTTCACTGTTGCTAAATGGTAAATTTTTCGTATAAATTCCTGTATTTCTACTCATTTAATGCTTCTCTATTTGTTAGAAAGGTGACTTTTATAAAAATGAATGGGCTACATCTCTTTGAACAAGAAATCATAAGATGTCAGTATTGTGCTTTCATAGCTATGTAGTCTTAGGTATAGTTTTTGTTAATTTCCTTGCAATTGGCTTTTTTCTCCTTCCTTTCCTTTTATCTTTTTTTTGCTGTGCTGCATTTACTGCTGGTTAGATCTTAATCTCAGTAACAGAGAAATCCTGCTTGGATATTCAACATGCAAAAGGAATGTCAAGGACCCTCAAAAATCTACTTCTATCAGAGAATATCTGAGTACTTGAAGTTTGACTTCTGACTTGTAAAAAGCTATGCAAACAAATTTTTAATTTAAATTTTAATTTCTATAGCCAACAAGAAATTATTACACCATAAGATAGAATAATCATTCTGCTGTCGAAATCACTTTTGTAACTGGTTAGATAGTTCATTTACCTGTGGCTTAATGTAAGAGAAGGGGACATAATTGAATGTTGACACTTGATCCTTTTGGAAAAGTCTAGCTGTCTCCCTGCTGGATGGTCTTGGGTGGCCCAAGAATCTCTAGTTACACAACTTGGTTAGTGATACTGAGTAGTAATATTGTCTCACAACTAATTAATTTGATGTGAGACTGTTGTATGTCCCATGCCTGTTTGGACCTAGTTGAGTACACTTGTTCAGAATCTGCTCCGGAACTGAAGGGTAAGATGCTGAAGAAATGAAAAATGGCGATTTGCCTGGATGATATAAGCTTATAGGATAAGCAAATTTGCATTCTTGTCCTTTGCTTTCCGTATAACCCATTCTTTTTTTTTAAATTTATTTTTTATTAATTACATTGCATTATGTGACACAGTTTTATAGGCTCTGGAATTCCCCCTTCCCTCCCCAACCGCCCCCCCATGGTGGATTCTTGTTGCATTACTACAGTTCAGATTCAGTTGAGATTCTTTTCTTGCAAATATCTACAAAGCATAGAGTCCAGCATCTTATTGTCCAGATAAGTTCAGCAGTTTCTTAGGGAGACCATCTCTGGTCTGAAGGTAGAGCTGACAGAGTATCATCCCAATCAATTAAAAACCCCGACATTACATCAGTAACAATTTATAACGTAATGGATTAGTTGACATGGTATTGTGTAACCAGCATGTTAGAGAGAGAGAGAAAAAAAAGAGTGCAAGTTCTGAACCACATCCTATAACTTCTACATTGACATTACAATTATTATTTTATATACAGTTGGGTTCTATACACCTTAAAATGGCTATAGAATACTATTCAGCTGTCTCATGTCTATTTTAATTTTAGTATTTAGCAGTTCATAGCGTTGAAGCACGATTTTGCAGAACCTGGCTGTTTTTCAGGTAGTTTGTAACTCTAACAAGACATATGTCAACAGTTTAGGTGAACAGTTTTAGGAGGGGTGTGCAGAGAAATCTTCAAAACCCTAGTGAGGAGTAACTAATCTTTGTGTCCCACCATATAACCCATTCTTAATATCAGAATGGGAAGAAAACTGTTCACATCTTGCTAAAACTCACCAAAACTGGTAGAAAAATAATTTTAGATTTCACCAAGTTGGAATACCCAAGTAAAATTTAATTAAGTGAAATAGTGTTAACATTATTCAGTTATGCATGTCAACCTCTGTACTAAATTAAAATAGTGCTATTTACTTAAATTTGTAATGTTATTTACATGATTTTATCCAGTTAATGAAGTATGTAATTATTCTTTTTGCTTTGTTATGATCAGATAATGTAATAATAATAAACAGTCTAAAAACCAAATTCTTGTTATTCAAAATAAAAGAAGTAACGGGTATCTTTTAAAATTGCTTCTTCAGGTGGTCAGAATTTAGAAACTTAGAAATGATATATAATGCTTATGGCTCAAGAGAGGTTGTGAGCAACAGACTTTATTTCTGGATAATCAGTAGATTTCTTACTAAGTTTGCAAAGGTTTCATAATATTTATACCAATTAATAATATATAAAGTCTCTTTATTATAAGATTATTTATATGACTTAAAGCTACAGAGAGAATACACTATAGTGTTCTAATTTATTCTAAGGAAACTTTCTCCAATTGGATTTATACAGGAAATAATGAAACTCAAATCATGATCCATTATCAGGGGTTTTGATTTTAAAACAATAGCATAGCAAATGAAAATTGGAACAAGAAATAAACATGTACCATATATTGACCTGTTTTGACATCGTAAGTTATAGGTGAAGGAGCACAGACACTAGCCCCATTGCTCTCCCTTAGGTAAAAGCTAAACTTGTCTCTAACTGGTAGAATTTTTTAGTGTTACTATGTAAAGATTTGCTGACCCAAAATGTCAAACAGTGAACAAACTTTATAAAGCTAGTTTGTTGAAGTTTCAAGAAACTATAGAGTTTCTTGCTTCCTTTTGAAAAGTCATGGAGAGGTTAGAGACTAAGAAAACTGTTCTATTTCCTAATTTTTTCCTCTCTGTGAAGGTTTAGCCAGAGCCAAGTCAGTTCCCACAAAGACCTACTCAAATGAAGTTGTCACACTGTGGTACCGGCCCCCTGATGTGCTTCTTGGTTCCTCGGAGTATTCTACCCAGATTGACATGTGGTAAATATATACAGAAAATATTTCTAGTCATGATTTTGAAAGAATGTGGCTGATAACACAGAGCAATACTGATAGGCATTATTTGATTTTCAAAGAGGTGTTACTTTAAGAAGGATAAACAGTGGTGTAGAGTTCTGGCTTATAATAAGAGTACCTGCATTTAGTTAACAGTTCTATCACTTACAACTAAAATAATGTTATTCAGATTATTGATCTATACTTAGCTTTTTTGTTTAAGGAAAAATGAGCTAATAAATGTAAACACCCATGTCAAATACTTGATATATGGTAATTTTAGAACATTATTTTTTAATGTTCATCGAAATTTGAAATAATCTGAAAATAATCAAAATCTCCTTATGATTTGGCTCACTGGCTTTAGCCACTGCTTTTGTCATAACACTCTTCTGCTCAAATGTCTGCATTGCCACTCCATCATTGCCTATTCAATAGGGCACAGTTTCTATAAGGTACTTCTAAACTGCTTTTTCCAACTTATTTTCTACTATTCTTAATACAGACATTTCCCTTTAGCTAAATGGCATAGTCACTGCACTTCAGAAATACTCTGGGCTTTCACATCAGTCTATTCCTCTAATGCCTCTATTCAGTTGCTCTAATCGGGGTCTGTGCCCACCAGCCTTTAAACACAACTTTTCCTAAAATCCTTTCCTCAATATACAACAGCCTCCAGTGGCCACTGTAGTTTAATGTGCTATACCCTTTATGCAATAATAGGTTACATTACTGCTATTATTGCTTGGAAGAAAGAATCTAGTTTTCTGTAAGGTTTTTTTCATATATATTCAATTTTCAAAGATGAAAAAATATACGTTGGTGCTGGCAGCATCACTCAACAGGCTAATGCTCCACCTTCAAGCACCAGCATTCCATATAAGTGCCAGTTCATGTCCCAGCTATTCCACTTCCCATCTAGTTCCTTGCAAATGACCTGGAAAAGCAGTGTAGGAAGGCCCAAATACTTGGGACCCTGCCCCCATGTGGGAGACCCAGAAGAAGTTCCTAACTCTTGGCTTCAGATCCTCTTAGCTCTTCCCATTGAGGCCATTTGGGGAGTAAAACCAGTAAATGAATGTTCTTTCCCACTCTGTCTCTCATTCTTCCTGTAAATCTGTCTTTCGACATGAAAAATAAATCTTGGAAAAAATATACATAATAATTTTTTCCCGAATTCTGAGTGTACAGTACTGAAATACTGAATACTTTGACATTGTTGTACAGCCATCACCACTGTCCATCTGTAGAGCTTTATCTTGGCAGAATTGAAGCTATATACCTGTTAAGTGGTACACCATTATACTCCATTCGCCTGTTGTCCCTGAAAACAACTATTCTACTTTTTGTCTCCATGAATTACAGTTTTTCCTTTTGTGACTGGCATATTTTACTTAGCCTAACATCTTCAAGACTTACCCATGTTGTAATGTGTATTTTCTTTACTTCTTAAGTTTGAACAACACTCCATTGTATATGCCAGATTCTGTTTTTGCCATTCATCAATTGATAGGATTGCTTCCACCTTTTCACTGTTGTAAATAATGCTTCTCAGTTCTTTCAGGCATACTCCAAGGAGTAGAATTGCTAAATAATGTAGTATTGTACACTATACACATAGACCCTGCTCACCCTGTGCTATGCTCTACTTCTGTTCCTTACGTCAGAAAATCTTGTATCATTTGTTTCTCTATCCTCTCTACCTGCTATCTTGAGCTACTGTTTTGTGGATTATTGTTGTTTCACTGACAACTCTCTCTTAATTCTTTTGCTCTCTTTTCGTTATGAATGATTTTTCACTTGGTTTTCCTCCTTCCTGTCTTCAACCTTTTAGTCCATGGTCCACGCAATCGCTGATTTAAAGATTCAACAAGATAGTAGTTTGGATACTTAAACAGTTTCTCACACAGTGTAAGCACTCAGTCACTGTTAACTACATACAGAGCTGGGCCTATTAAGTGGGATAAATGAATATAATAGCAGTATGGAAGTTGAGACAATTTAAATGTTAAAGATTAGTTCTGAAAAAAAGTGTCTGCAGGAGATTTGCTGGCAGGCTTGTACAAAGTTGTCTGGAGAGGCAATCTTAAGGAAAAGGCTTTTGCATTTCACGACATATAAATTGATTGCTCATTTTTTCCCACCTGTGATATGTTTTAAAGGGGTGTTGGTTGCATTTTCTTTGAAATGGCCTCTGGAAGACCTCTGTTTCCAGGATCAACTGTGGAAGATGAACTGCACTTAATTTTCCGACTGTTAGGTAACAAAAGAAATTTTTTCCTATGATGTTGCACCTACCAAGATAAGACCATCTCTGAAAACATAAGAATGTGATAGAGACTAATAAATATGGCTATGACGTGTTAGAATTTCAGTTGTCTTAGTTATAAAGTGGATAAATCTAGGTAGTTTCTCTTCTTTTACTATTTCAATTTTGATTTCAGTTAGAATAAATCATGTAGTAAATGTGAATTGATCTCACAAATATAATTTGCATATATTTATAAAGTTGTTTTATATTTAGGAACTCCGTCTCAGGAAACTTGGCCAGGTGTTTCTTCAAATGATGAGTTCAAGAATTACAACTTTCCAAAATATAAACCACAGCCTCTAATTAACCATGCACCAAGGTATTTTTTTTCTTCTTAAAATCTTTTGAAGCATTAACCACCGTAAGGATTCAGGAAAAATGCACAATGCTTAATTATCTTATGGATCTTCTTCAAATTTCTTCCATCACATGTTAGATTGATGATTCAGTTATCTAAGCCTCCCCCTTAAAGTGCCAGCATCCACATGGATGCCGATTCATGTCCCAGCTGCTTCACTTCCCATCCAGCTCCCTGCTTGTGGCCTGGGATAGAGTTCTTGAATGTGTATAAGTAGCTCTTTTCATAAAGCAAACATTGCTTAGTATGTTTTTTTAGTATTACAAAGACTATAATGAAATTTGCTTTGCTTTCTAGAGAATTGTTCTATATTTAGTTAACCAGAAAATTCTGTAAGGAAAATCTTACTCTGATGCAAGTAAATATTTTGGTCGATGTTACTGATTTGTATTTGAAATATGTAAACTTTCTGTCCTCTGATATCAGCAGGTCAGTTGTAGTTTGTTCTCCGACATACCTTCAGATCAATTCAAGACTACTGTTTGAATTGGAGTCATTTTGTCTTGTGAAATCTGTCTCATTTTCACTATGATAGACTCACCCTTTTGACTGCACTTTAATCTCTTCCTATGAAGTATTTATGAATTAATGCTATTAATGTTACTACAGCAACCAATATTTTAGCTAGACTCTCTTAGGAATAATAAAATGTGCAGGGCTTTTCTGTGTATCTCTCCAAGGTAGCGTAATTCCTATTTTTATCATATTGCTTGCTCTTGGTGATAATTCAGTTGTAGAAGGTTGAAGCTCCATGGATCAAATTGGCAAAGATTTTACTTAGCAACCAGCTCATCTGAACAGTCTCTGAATTTATGTGAGATTGGCAAACTACAGAGGATTAAAGGAACCTGTAAAATGTCTAGGCCACAGCATACACAGGGCTACTTTTGAGAGCACACTCAACTCAAGAGAATATTCCTTTATTCATAATTGTATAGTGCAAGGTAGGACCTGTGTTTCCAAGAGATAATTCCATCAAAATAATGCCTAACCCAACTGTTCCATTTTGGTTCATTTCATCACTACAATTAACTATTTTTGTTAAGTATATATTTAGTTTTGTAGGTCTTACTAACAAAATTTTAATAAGTTGTAGTGATTATATATGCACATATATTTAATGTGTGTGTAGACACACGTAAAAAGTTAATGGAGCATCTATTTTTCTCTTGAACTATAGTGATACATTTTGGAGTTATTTTATCTATATTTCATCTATATTTTAATTTTTTTTGAGATGTATTTATTTTTATTTGAAAGGCAGGTTTACAGAGAGAAGGAAAAATAGAAGGATCTTCCATCTGTTGGTTCACTTCCCAAGTGGCCATTATGGCTGGAGTTGAGCTGATCTGAAGCCAGCTATGCAAAGTGAAAATGTTCTGGATGTTTGCCTTGGAGAGCACTGAAAATTGATGTAGTAAAGAAGCTTTATTTATAATAGAGTTACTTTGTCAACACAGAATGATTTTAAAACACTGTATGATTTCAGTGCATGTGCTGCCAAAGCGAGCTCAACACTATATAGTTTTAATTGGTTGTTGCATATTGAAAATTTCAATTGCAGCACAGTTATTTATGGGCTGTCCTTAAGCAAATGGTACAACAAATCTTTGAAGACCAAAGCAGAGTTGAGTTCATTTGTAGGCAACAAGAGTGACTATTTCAGGGCGCTTTCATTTAGCAAATTGAAACAGAGAGCAGTTTTATTTTGAAAGCTTCTACCAACTAAGATTAAAATAAGAAGAATAAATTGTGACTTTTGTTGTTTCTAGGCTGGACTCTGAAGGTATTGAGTTGATAACAAAATTTCTTCAGGTAAGTCACACCTTGTTTTATAACTGGTAAGTGGGGGTTGAGTTTCTTCAATAATTGGGGTCAAAAATTTCTTTAAGTATTCTATGACAGGCAAATAAGGTAACTATGGTAATATCTAGCATACTTAAGGCACATGCTTAAGTTAAATTGAAAACAAAACAAAACAGGATTTCTTAATGTGCCAGGATCTCTCCTTGGGACCTAAAATAGTAAGAGCTAGATCAAGCTGCTGGTAGAGAGCAACTGTGTCGCGGCAGTGTTCTCTGTGATTCACGTTCTCTTGTCCCCATACTTACTGCCCTAAAGGATGCCATACCTTCCAATGTCATTCATGTTTTACTTCAGATTGGAAAAAAACAAAGATGATATGGTGGTAGCAGCCTCATTCGTCGTCTTAGGTCCTAAAAGCAGACTTTCGTAGAAATCCCACTTCAGGTTTCATTGGCCAGAGCATTAGTTGAGAGAGAGGCTGGGGATTGGGGAGCAGGACTGGTATAATTAGTCCAAATTTAGAACAGTTGTAAATTCACAACCCATCTGCTGGAGTGGGAAGTGTGGACAGCTTCAACAAATCTAGGTTGCATCACAAGCAAGAGAACAAGAAAATTGGTATTACGTAGCTAAGAATGGCTTCCATAAGGTGTGAGGTATAGTCCCACCAGTCATTTGGAGTTCATGAAGAAAAGTTGTGTCAAAGGTCAAATATTGTAACATTTTATCACTTTCAAAAATAAAAGGATTCTAATTTTTTATTTCAGATTCAGCCTTATCTTGGAAATGTAGGCCTAAGATAAAATTAGTACTACATAATATCAGCTGTAACTCAAATTTAGTGTATGCATGTGTCTTGCTCTCCATTCATGCTTGAAAAATAGTTAAGTGATCTGAATTTTTAGCAAGTAGCTGTGTATGCAAAAATACCCTTAACCTGCCTTTATAGTAATTAGATAAAATAATTAATGAGGCAATTGTTTGCTTTTTCATAGTATGAATCCAAGAAAAGGGTTTCAGCAGAAGAGGCCATGAAACATGTATACTTCCGAAGTCTGGGACCAAGAATACATACTTTACCAGAAAGTAAGAGAAATCTTGGATTTTCCCTCATCCTTTGTTTTCATTTGTCTAGGATTAGGGATTGGGATAAAATGGGTCTTTAGCAAGAGGTTTGAGTCTTTAATGGAATTTAATCAGAATTTCAGAGGGGGGAAGGGTTTTTATTGGAAAGTGAGATTTAAAGAGAGAAGGAGAGACAGAGAGAAAAATCCTCCAACTGATTCATTCCCCAAGTGGCTGCAATGCTGGAGCTGAGCCAATTAAAGCCAGGAGCCACGAACTTCTTCCAGGTCTCCCACATAGGTATAGGGACCCAAGGGTCTGGGCTGTCCTCTGCTGCTTTCCCAGGCCACAAGCAGGGAGCTGGATGGAAAGTGGAGCAGCTGGGACACAAACCAGTGCCCATATGAGATCCCAGCACTTTCTAGGCAAGGATTTAGTCACTGTGTGATCCTGCTGGACACCATGCATAGTTATTTGATAAGCTACATTTTCCATGAACTCTTTTTGAAGGCTTAATGTTTGATTTTCCTGTTTGATTTCTTGTAACAGTTAACACATTGCCATTCCCGTAAACGAAGTGAATACCAAGAGATCGTCACTCTTGTTAAAATTAAGTTGGCACATGTAGTCTGTTGGCTGCCATTGTCCTTAGACTTAGTCAGGATTCAATTCAGAGTTGTTTAAAGTAGGTTTCTGTAAAGATTAGTGAAGCACAACTCTAAGATCTAAAGCTTAAGATTGTTTTCTTTATCTAAGTTTTTTTCCCCCTGGGGCTAGCTTGGCAGAGTGAGTTAAACACCATGCTTCGACAGTTGTATTCCATATATGCAACAATTTAGTCCTATCTGTTCTACTTCTGATACAACTAAGGTGGTTAGGAAAGCTGCAGAGGAAGGCTCAAGTACTCCTGCCACCCACATGGGAGACCTGAGGGATTCCAGGCTCCTGCCTTTAGCCTGGCCCAGCCATTGGGGAGTGAGCCATAGGATACAAGTGCTCTTTCCTTCTCTCTCTCTTTCTCTAACTGTGCCTTTTCAAATAAGTAAATCTTTCTGAAATAATAAAAAAGTATGTTTAATTCTTTATTTAGATAGCTGGATTGGACGTTGAGTAGCTGAGACTTGAACTGGCACCCAATATTGGCTCTTTGCTATTCCATAGCCCCCGGCACCCTAAACTACTTAAGATAAAAAGATCATTTTTCACTATTGTATTCATTCTGACTTCATTATCCCCAAGATAGAGATGAGTATACTGTCGATCATTAAACCATGGGCCTAAAGTAACCCGAATGTTACTCGTAATTTTTGTGCTTATTATTTTAAAACAGAGTAATAGGTAAGTGGGGAATTGGGTTAACGTTGGGTTAGTTGGGTTGTAGTTGTTTTAAATAATGTTAGACCTCATCTAATAACTTTTGCCCATAATTTTGCTTTTTAGGTGTGTCAATATTCAGTTTGAAAGAGATTCAGTTGCAAAAGGACCTGGGCTTTCGCAATTCTTCTTATCCAGAGACAGGTGTGTTTGTCATAAACCATTTCACATGTCGATCATGAATTCTTGCGTGGAACCAAGCTTTTGGTTTATAAATTGATCAGTAAAATTATTGATGTACAAATCAATGTACAGTGCATTCCACAAGTGTGTATGTTAGTATTGCACGTGCTCACTTTTCTGTAGGATGTGGGCAGCTCAGTAAATCTTCAGAGAGGAATCTGACTCGGTCATGTCAGGGCTCCTGCAAGCTGCAGATGGCACAGAGACCTTTGACGAGTCACCTGGCTTGATCACGGCCCGTGGCATCCGTGGTACCTGAGGCAGAAGACTTACCTTGTGCTTCCCTGGTCGCCAGGTTCATCACTTCGAAGCACAGAAGCTGTAGACTGACCCCATCAACAAAAGGGCCCTTTAAGAGAGTGCTGACCATTCTGACCGTGGAATGTTAGCTTTTGCTGGTGGGAACATTAGCTTCCTAGAGTCACCAAATAACTGTATGTGGGATAAACGTGAACCTTGAACTGCCTCATAAAATGACTTTATATTTTAGGACATGGGAAGAACAGAAGACAGAGCATGCTCTTTTAAATCTGATAACATGATTTCAAGCCCAGCCCCCAGCCTTTCTTACCAATCACGGACTCAAATCTGAAGGCAATTATTTTTTTGGTGAACTTGGAATCTCCATTTGTCTACACTGTCCTCTTCACAGTGGAGTCTTTTTATTTCAGACCTACAGATTGTTTTTATATTTGTTGTCACAGTGTGACAATGTTTTTGTACAGTCAGTTTTAAGGTCTTCTCTGCCATTAGAGCCAGTAGGTTACAGCTGTTGATGTAACTAGCTGCAATTTTTGTGCAGGACTGAGAAACACAGTGCATTATTTATTGCGGAATCATTGCTGCTAAATAACTACTGTCTGTTTAACACAATAATTGGATGCCTGAAGTTGCAGTGGCTTTATTACTTGTGAATGCATCTGTTTCTCCTTACAAATTGTTTTACTGCTGCGTTTTTTTGTTTGTTTTTAAATTAAACTGCAGTGTTTCCTGGAATGTAAATTAGCTTTGCTTAACAGTAAAATAAGTGAGCCATCTTGAACACTCTTAAGTTCATGCTATATACTTTCTCAGTGAATATTAATTAAGTAGCTAAGAGATTGATTAATACATTGTGTTTATGAAAACATGTGATGCAAAAGTTGATTCAAGAAAGCAAATATTTGATATTTTGGAGACCTCACATTAGACATTGAGAAATTAAAGCACCAAAATTGCTCATTTTTACCTATTCGTCATTTTAGAAATGTCTGTTGCATATTACTGGATATTTGTATACTAATATGCTTAATCTATTTTGCATTGTCCTTTTATTTAGTTAAAACTTAGCCATATAAGTCCATTCAAGCATAGAGGGTCTTGTTTTATTTGTTTTAACTGCATTGCTTTTTCAGTTAGAAGGAATGTCAGCTCATTGAGGAACAATTTCTTTCATATGGGGGCTATACTTCTGTAACATTCACTTGGAATCAGCTAAAAGCTGTAATATGTCTTTGAGCCATGATAAACTACAGTTGAAAGAAATGAGTGCTTTAAAGCATTGTAGGTATTGTCTGTTTACCAGAGATACTAAATATTAGTTTTAATAGAACATCATAAACACCTTGGTGTTGGAAACAGTGTTTTAAAAGCATTTGTGTTCACTTTTAAGGACTATTGTTTAGTGCATCTTATAAACTATAAATCTTACTTGGTATATTTTGAAATGGTCATGTATATTTTTGGCTTATATATCATGAAAATAGTCGTAACTTAATTTTTTTCCTGACATTCACTGTAAAACATTCAGGGGTCCTACCATTTCTGTTCAGGAAATCTTGTAGTTTATTGTTGTTATTTAACAGTATTAAATGAATTTTTGTATATTTCATTTTAACTTTATTTGTGCATAGTGATTGTGGCATGTTTGGGGGTGTTATTTTAATATTTCATGATACTGAAGTTTTAATTTTAAAAAAAAAGTTCTGGAAGAAACAGATACATGTTATAATGGAGAATATTGGACCACTACTGCTTTTCACATTTGTAAGTTGGTTTTATGTTAAACCCTGTAGCCTAACAAACTGCTGTTATTTCTAACTGACAGACGTGTATTAATATTGTACTACGAAGTTATAAACCTAATGTGGAAGTTCCTTCATTTTGTTTTGAAATTTATAATAACAAAATCATGTTGTTAAAATGTGGTTTTGTTGAGTCACAGTTCTTTCTTAGGGAAGAAAGCTTTGAATAATGGAATTGTTTTTTTGTTTGTTTTAATGGGTAATTCTTAAAACAGTGAAGTTTCGCTGTGGTGAAAGTGATGGATGTTTGTGTTTGTGCCCACCATTTGTTTAGTAGCCTCTGCTTTGATTTTACAGAATAGCACTCAGCTATAAAGTACCAAACTTAGGATTTCATTTTCCAAAACTATTTGTTGCAAACTTGGCATATGGTTATCTTGAGTTTGATTCTTGCATATAAAATATGAAGAAACCTATCCAGTTCTTCGGTAAAATTCTTTCTTAGGAGGTCCTGGGGTATTCTGTTAAGAAATATGGCAGGCAAACAAATGTATTTTGTTTAGTTTGATACATGAGCACCATTCAGATCCTGGAAACTATTCAGTGAAGAAAGTTGAAATTCAGAAATTTTGAACCTTTGAGTACTTAGGATTCCTCATAAGCCAGCCAGGTTAAGGTAAGAGAAGATATTTCTTTTGTTTTGAACGTGACATTCCAGGTGTTTGTAGAGCGGCTACCTTCTGTTGGGTCCTTTATCATCTGAGGGTCAAAAGATTGTTAACATGTTACGGTTATCTTTTAGACTCAGGAAAACTCATGTGGGTTTTTTCCTTTACTTTTTTTTTAAATTGTGTTTATATATGCAATAAAAAATGTCACCTGTTTGAAATTGTGGAATTCAGTTAGTTATATTATCAAAATTGCATGGTGATTACCACTATTCCAGAATTCTGTTTCGCTTCAAACTCATTAAGAAATAAATCCCCAATTACCTTTCTTTGCTGATCCCTGGTAATCTCTTACCTATTTCCCTACTGTATGGAATCTGTTTTTGATAGTTCATGCAAATGGAATCATATCATATTTGTCTTTCAATGCTTTGGTTTATCCATATTTTGCATATGTTTGAACTTCATTTCTTTTCATGGCTAAGTGGTAGATTATAAATATATGCATTTTGTTTATCCATGCATTGGTTGATGGACACTGGGTTTTTCCTCCTTTAGCTACTGCAAGTAATACTTACATGAACATTGGTGTGCAAAACTGTTGAGTTCCACTTTTAATTCTTTTAGGTATAAGGAATGGAATTGCAAAGTCATGTGATAATTTTAACTTTTTGAGGGCACAGTCAAACCATTTCCCACAGCAGCTATTTTAAATTTCCTTGAGCGTTCAGATTTCACCCTCACCAGCACTGCTTACTTGTCCTTTCCTATTACTGTGTTTTTTCGAACAGAAGTTAAGTTGTATCTCTTTGTAGTTTTGATTTACATTCACCTAATGGTCAGTAATGCTGAGCAAATTTTCATGTGTTCTATGTGCTTTCCCAGGCACATCGGCAGGGAAGTTTATTGGAAGTGGAACAACCAGAACTCAAACCAGTGCTTATTGTGGGATGCAGGTATTGTGGGTTGCAGCTTCATCCATTGCACCACAGTGTCAGTTCCTGCTTTGCACCTCCTAAAAGTTTCATAGTTTTAGCTTTGTTGACTTAGGGGGTTTAATAAGTTTGATTTAATTTTTTTTACATGTGATTAATTTTCTAGTACCATTTGCTGTAAAAATTTTACCTTTTCCCCATAGAATTATCTTGGCACCCTTGTCAAAAATCTGTTGATCATAAAATATGAGGATTTATTTCTATATTCTCAGTTCTGATCCATCAGTCTATGCCTCTATATATCTATCCATAAGGATAAACCAGCATTTTGAATGCTGTAGTAGCTTGCTTAATTGTTCTGGCTAGAATTTGCAGGGAAAAAAAAATTGACTAGAAATGGCAAAAATAGGTATTCTCTTCTTCATCCTGGTTTCAGAGGGAAATCTGCCAGTCTTGCAATATTGATTGTAGTTTTTGCTCGGGCATTTTCTTTTCTTTCAGCGATTTCCTGTATGTGTTTGAAAGGCAGAGGAATGGAAAGATCTTCCAGATACCAGTTTATTCAAATGGCTGTAAGAGCCAGAGCTGGACCAAGCAGAAGCTGGGCGCCTGCAGCTCGATCTGGATCTCCCATGTAAATGGCAGGAGCCCAAGTACTTGGGCTGTGTTTTGCTTCTTTCCTAGGAACACAGGCACGGGAACTGGATCAGAAAGAGAGAAACCAGGAGCCAGGATTTCTAACTGGGGCTACGTTCGGAGTTGTAGGCAGCAGAGCTTTTTTGTTTTGTTTTGTTTTTTAATGATTTATTTACTTATTATTGGAAAGACCGATTTGCAGAGAAGAGGCCAAGAGAGAAAATCTTCCATCCACTGATTGATCGCCCAAATGGCCACAATGGCCAGAACTGAGCCAATCTGAAGCCAGGAGCTTCTTCCAGGTTTCCTGTGCAAGTGCAGGGTTGCAAGGCCCTGGACCAACTTCTGCTGCTTTCCCAGGCCATAAACAGGGAACTGGATGGGAAGTGGAGTAGCTGGGACATGAACTGGCACACATATGGGATCCTGGTGCTTGAAAGTGGAAGATTAACTTGAACCACACATTGGCCCCATGTAAGCAGCAGTTTACAATGCGCGCCACACTGCCGGCCCCACCCGTAGTTTTTTCATATGTGGTTTTTATCATCATTGAAGTTGTCATGTATTCCTTGTTTATTGAGTGACTTCATTGCTTCTTGAAGTATTGACACAGGATTTATTCGGGAAACAATTTTACGTAAACATGAGATGATCTCGTTCTAAGAAAAGTTTTAGTGGAGTGTTTATATATGTTGTTGGGTCAAATTGGTTTATGATGTTGAATATTTCTATTTTTAAATTGATCTGTGGTTTTCCTACTGAAATTGGGATGTTGACAGCTGTCATCATAGAACCATCTCTGTCCTTCAGGTTCTGTCTTTGTGTTTTTGGGCTCTGTAGTTGGCTACCTGCATGTCATACTTGTTACGTCTTTTAATGGAATGGGCCCTTTTACAATGTATGTCTTTCATTCGCTATACTTTTTCTTAAACTCTATTAATTTTCTCTTACAAAAAGCCACTGCTTACTTTCTCTGGGTGATGCTTGTGTGGAATATCTTTTGCTGTTGTTTTATTTTTAACCTTTTGTGTCTATCTAAAGTAAGCCTCTTACAGATAATATATTCATGGGTAATATATTTTGATTATGCCAGTCTCTGTCTTAATTGGAGACTTTAAACTATGTAATCACTTGTTAGGAAAGACTGACTTTCCAAGTTAGCTGTCTGTTTTCTGTTCAACATGCTTTTTATTTAGTGCCTTATTGTGAAATTGATTCTTTTTAAAGTTTATCTCTTATTCCTTTCCTGTATGTATTTTCTGTGGTTTTCAAAATATTTATTTTGAATATAATTTTCCTGAATTTATTATTTCTAATGTCGGATCTTCCCATATGTAGGTGAGTCCCTCAGTTGCCACCATTCTCAGCTGTTTCCATCACTAACCCAGGAGAACAAACAAAAAACACTGAAGTCGCCGGTTTTCTGTAAGATGAAAGTACTAAGAATGTAACCAAATTACTGTTTATAAACATGCTTTGTTTAGAAAAGAACTGAAATTTTTAGCATAATTGAATTTTCTGTGGATGACCTCTCAAGTGGAAAATTTCAACTTACAGGTAAAACCAACATTTCTAAAAAGTTATTGCTTAAGAGGCTGTTGACCATTTGGTGTGGGTGCTGGGTGTGCATTGTACAGTTTTGCAAGGGAAACAGAACAAACTGTAGTAGGAATCGTGATGGCTGCTCCTGCTGTTTTCTTCCATCTTAGCCTTACTGCAGTAGTGGGATAGATTACAGAACAGAACATTAAAAAACAACTGGTGGCCCATCTGGATGGTGTGCTGCACTTTTCAGGAGGTCAGATAAGCTTGGCAGAGACCAATCAATAGTCTTGTGTGTTTACTGGGCTCCTTGTGACTAAGTCTGGATGCAGCCTTAGTGCTTGTGCGAGATCCATAGGTCTCAAGTCTTTGCTAGAACAGTGCTAGGAACAGTGCTAGAGAAATGCCACAAATTTGCTTTCTCCAGCTCCACTGATACAGATCCTCACTCTTCACCTCGGTTCCTCCCTTGGATGTGTGCAGCTGAGGCTGTCAGGTAATGAACACATTCATGGATGACCTGGTCTGATCGTGGCTCACACCACTCATCTGTGGATGATATCCACACACCAGTTTTCTGGATAATTACTTTTTGGGCCCAGTCTTGGTCATTTGTTTCTCTGTAGAATTTCTGGCCAGTCACTCCAGTGTTCCAGAAGCTCTCTTCTTTTTAAATTTCAGCTCTTGTTTAACTTCTGTATTACCAGTGATATAGGCTTGATTTTCATTCAACATCCTAGTTTGCTGAATTCTGGAATGCTTCCTCTCCCCCAAGTTGAGGTATCCTCTTCCTTCTGCTTGACCTTTTCTTGGTTTGATACTCTCATTCATTCTTTGGTGCTCAGTTATTTCTGCCACAAAGCCTTCCCTAACCAGTACCTCACCTTACGGGGTTATGTGCTGTGCTGTTTAGCTGCCTTGCTTTCCAGTGTCATCCTCATACTTTAATCTCATTCAATACTTATTCACATATTTCCCTCTCACTAAAACTCTGAGCTTTATAAAGGGTTTATGTGTTCCTCAGCTCTGTATCCCTGGTCCCAGGTACTTTTTTTTTTTTTTTGAAGATTTATTTATGTTCATTGCAAAGTCAGGTATAAAGACCGGAGGAGATACAGAGAGGAAGATCTTCCGTACACTGATTCACTCCCCAAGCCGCCACAATGGCTGAAGGGGAGCCAATCCGAAGCCAGGAGCCCGGAGTTTCTTCCGGGTCTTCCACGCAGGTGCAGGGTCCCAAGGCTTTGGCCATCCTTGACTGTTTTCCCAGGCTACAAGCAGGGAGCTGGATGGGCCGCTGGGATTAAAACTGGCACCCATATAGGATCCCAGTGCATTCAAGGCAAGAACTTTAACTGCTTTGCTATTGCGCTGGGCCCCCAGGTACATTTTTAAGAGAACATGTTTATCTGTTAAAGAAACCCAAATACAGAGGGTCTTGAGAAATAGTCTTGTTGGTTATATAATGCTAGCTTGCAACTATTTTCTCTGGATGGACAAAGGCAAACATAGCTGTCCAAAATTGCACGCACATACACACACCATCCACGGGGGGAGAGGAGTAGGACTGGGAATAAAAGTCAGTACTGGATAACTCTAGATAATATTGAGAATACATTCTCCCAGAAACAAACATGTATTTAGGATTTGTATAGGCCTGGTGCTCTTCTCTGTAAAGATATAGATTGCTAGTTTAAATTCGTGACGTTTCCTGTAGCTTAAGATACTGGGCTCTACAATGAAAATGCTGTGTTTTAAATCTGGTCAACCTTAAAAATCTTCAGCCAATTACTTAACCATTCTGGGTCTCATTTTCCTCATATATTAAATAGTATATAGTACTTCCCATTCATGGTTGTTGAGCAAAGACCGAATCAAGTCATCCATGTTCCATGTTTAGAACAGTGCCTGGCACTTAAGAATTGGGTTAAAATAGTTGTTGTAAGTGGTGGAATTATGAGGTGGAATATTGAGAAATGTATGTTTTTCAGCATATAGCTTAGGAACTTGGAATAATGTTTTCTGTTACTCTTGATGGGGCCATGAAGGTTATGTAATAAAATATTTTGAACTGGGAAAAAAATAGTTGGTGTCACTGAAATTGTGTCAGCCAACAGTGAATGAAAATAAGAACTCCAAGACCTGAATCACCTGGGAACGAGAAGGGAACTGAACATAGTGTGTTCCTAAGTGCCAGTCCTGGAGGTGAGGCCATGCAGTCCCAGGTAACGGGGGAGAAATGCTTGTGTGGAGGTAGGCATAAAAAGGCATTTCATAAAACCAATTTAGTGAACTTTCAGGTATATAAAGGTCCAAACAATTCTTGTAACTCTCTGTGAGGGAAACAGGTTTACAGCCCCCCATTTCTGAAACAGTGCCTGGAACTAGGTTGGTTTATAAATGCCTCTTCAATAAATGATTTTGACTATCACCAATCATATATACCACATGCAGCTGTGAGGTTACCTGTGTCCTCTTAGCTCTCTGGGACAGTGCATTGTACAAACCTTTGTTAACCCACTGTTTCCCTTCTGGTGTTCGCGACAGCTCACGCCAGTCTTCCTCTATTAAACCCAGGATGACAACCCATCACCAAGCCTGGCACCTCACATTCCCCTGCAGCAACACAATGGCTAATGGAATAAATAGTAACTTTTTTTTTTTTATTTCCTCCTCACTTCCCCCTCCTTGGTACAGATCAGTTGATAAAACTTAAAATTTAAAAAAATCAGGATACTGTTTTTCAAAGTACTTCCATTCGCCCTCAATTCAACCACAGTAACTTATTTTTAACTCAGCTGTGGATATGCTTTATGTTAAGGTTTATAACTTCATATGAGAAACTGAAGTTGGTATCATCTCAAGTACATGTGGGAAAATCAATCTACTTGCCTCTAAATATCTTTTATCACAAAGTATTTATTGAACAAAAATAGTATAACAATAAAAATGATACATATATGAAAGTGAATGAAGATTTCAAGTCATAGAAAGAGGTGTACAAAAAGAACAGTGTTCAGGTTATTTCTCATAGTTGCAGAACAATCCAGCCATAGCAGTTTTGACATTGATCAAGCAGACTAAAACACAGGAGGGTATCTAGCATTCTTTGAAGCCTAATTTCTGCCTACTTAAAAAGGAGAATGAGGCAGAGCTGTAAGTTATATTTCAATACTCTGTCTCTTTGAGCTATAGTATATTGGCCCAAGAATGGCATTTTTTCCATCTTTATGTTGTAGAGTACATGTTAATCACAATATATCGAGAAAAAAAGAATTTAGACTAAATTTCCAATCAGGTTTTATATTTTAAAGTTCTAAAGACATTTTGGATGTGGGTATTTTTCTCCACATTAATTTCGTTTAGAGATTCTCCCATTTTAGAGTCTAATGCTTTAACCTAACACGTTTTGGGCCAGTAACCATCTATAGCAAGGTACTGCAGACGGAGGGTCAGACTGAACATGATCATGATTCTGTCTTCAAAGCTTTGTGGCCTCAGGCAACCCCTGCGTTTATGCATAGGTCTGTTCTGACCTGGGAACTGTAAGAGGCATTATCCAAGACCCCTCATGACTCTTCATGTTCTGTAACTACCAGCACCCTGAACCACCTCCCTTTGTTAATGCAAGCCCTTTAGCCTGGGATGGGGTGACAGTGTTGTCATCTACTTGTGAGTTTTGGAAGCAGTCCTATTACTTTAGTTAGAGGGGCATATTAGGGAGTGTTTTTCCTTCTCTTGATAAGAGCTCACACTCCCAACAAAGATACTTATTTCCATTTGGAAAATCCTAGGTCATTTCCATATGAAGTGACAGTTGTTAAATTTCTTGGGAATTTAAGTGAAAATTGGTTTCCAACTTCCCTTCCTCTTTGTAATAATCCCTGTCATTTAGTACCTGGATTGGATTATTCGGTCACATTTCAAACTGGTTTCTGTTACTTGGAGTTAAGGATTACAGTTACCCTTCCTGCCTAGGTACTGCTGTGGTGCCTCTGAAATGCTGCCCGATTTTTCTGAAGGAAGGCCAAAAAGGCTCTCATCGCTGCACTTAAACCACAGCACTCAACAGAAATAGTGTTCCAAATAAAGTAAGCTTCCTTCAGAGTAATATTTTATAATTTCCTTCATCCTCAGCATAAATTTAATAAATCATTAAGTAGTGTATCTGACACCTCTCCATACTAATAGGCCTCAGGACTTCCAATTGTGTGTTAAATGAATTTTTGGATCCATGAAAAATTGTAATGATGCCTGATGTAAGAAAAATTGTTTGAATTCAGTCGGAGTCTGGAGCTGGAACATGGTAAATGTCAGCTGGGTGTGAGTCTGGGAAATTGGGAGAAGCAGGGCTAGTTTTAAAAGTAAGATTATACAAACTTGGTAATGTTCTAGGGGCTGATGATAGCAGGAACTTCAGGAAACTCAACATTTTTGTTTGAGAGGCATCTAAGTTCATTTCTTTAAAAATGCGCTTGGGAACATTTTCTTTCATAAATGCTTACTGTCTAAATATGGCTTGTTTTATTGGATATTACATTTACTGAGTTTCAGTTCAAAAAGATTCTAAGGCAATTCTTACACAATTGAAAGCAAAAAAAGTGATATGAGTATGCTTTCATATTGCCTACTTGTGAAAATAATGAAATTCTACTAGAGCTGTTTGAAACTAATTTTTGTCTTTCAGACATTTTTTTCTTAATACTAAAAAATAGAAATCATTTACATAATCTAAATGCAAAGGAAGGCACAGCTGGTTATAGGGTGTTACAAGCACAGTTCAGCATATGCAGAATTAGAGGAAATAAGCTTCACATCCTGATTAGTTCTACTGAAAACCATTAGGAAAGGTTCTTCACTGTCAACAGTGTCCACCACATAAAGAGCTAAGAGGGTATAAAAAGAGACATTAAAATTCACTTAATGCAAAAGATTTCCATATATACTTGAATATATAAAAAAACCAGTTTTCAAAATGCTAACATAAACTATGTTGTGAAAAGTGCAAACCAAATTAATGGGGTTTCACAATGTCCTTCTCAAGACACAGGTAAACTAGCCCCTCGGGACAAATTTGTTTGTCTGTTAATGAGTCTTTAATTGTGGCCAGATGTCATCAGGATTTCTGGGAGCTGGAAGAAAGCAGTACTGGAGAAGCAGCTCTGTCCAGGCTGGGGAGCGGCACTGGCATGTGGCCGTTGAGCAGTGTAGGGAACTGTAAGGAAAAAAAATTAGAATTATTGGCAAGCTCAGCAGTGGACAAGGGTCCTTTGTAGTGTCAGGCTGCCGGTTATGGCTTTCTCTCCTCACCCCTGTACCAGAAATGAGTTGCCAGTTTGAGTTAACAGGAACATGACAATGATAGGGATATATGGCTGCCGGCAGATACACTCTAGATGTTGCTAAAACATGTTCCAGTGCTACTTTTAAAGGTTCCAAGCTATTCAAGAATACTGATTTACTTTATTCAAAACAAACATTTTGGCCAGCCTGTGTACATGCAAGTAGTAATTTATCATGTATTTTTGTAATGGCTGTCAAAATTCCATAGAATTCAGTAGTAACTGAGAAAAAGTACTCAGTAATTGTTTTGTTTTGTTTTTTACTTTGGAAATGAAAGGACTTTGATTATTTCATTAGGTGCCTGGTCACAACTAGGTTATTTCATTGCCTGTTTTGTTTGTTTTTTTTTTAAATCATCGGGACCGTCTTATAATTTCCTATTTTAGTTCAACTGAAGTTAAATATTAAACATAAGCACTGAATATCAGCTTCAAGGCCTGGCACATATTATAAGTACAATAAATATTTGTAGAGCAAGTCAGTTTGAGTGTTGAGTGACTTGCAGGCTCTTAGTAACATGTCTTAGTGGCCTGGATCACTATTTCACTTAGTCTCTGGAGACAGTGTAATAAGTTGGGTATCCCCATTTTACAGATGAGAAAATGAGGACTTCACAGAAATCCTGCACAGCGGGAAAGCAGCAAAATCAAGCTAATGGGATTATTTTCTCTATCATCCTTTCCAACTTACCTTGGCGAGGGCTGAGATGTGGAGGGAAGCTCTTTAGTAACTGTTTCACATTCCTTAATGTGGAATTATCCTTTTTCTACTTCACTCATCCAAAAATTTTTAAAATCATGCTTTTGCCCACTATCCCCACTGTCCTACAGTAAGCACTGCTAGATAAGATTTTCCACTCCCATGTTTTAGATTCTTCATCAGCCTTGGTTTTCTTAGTCTTCCCCATTGTTGAAACTGACTTCTGCCCTTTATTTGCCTACACTCGATTGGTATAGTTTCTCTTGTGGAGCCTGACTTTGCTGGCATGCCTGCTTCTGTCAGCCTGTCTTTCCATACCATGCCTGTACTTGATCACCGTTCCTTGTTAGATGTCCCCAACTCATGCCTTTGCCCCAGAAGAACTACCTTTTATCTGATGCTCTTTGGTAGTTAGGAGTAAACTTAGCTCTAAACTTGAACCAGGCTCTGGTATTTACATGGGGCTGGCATTGTGGCATAGCAAGTGAAGCTGCTAGCATCTCGTATAGGCCCAATTTTGTGCTTGGGCTTTTGTACTCAAATCTGAAGGAAACTCCTGACTCTGGCCCAGCCCTGGCAACTGTGGCCATTTGAGGTGTGAACCAGCAGGTAGCAGATATCTTTTCATCTGCTGTCTCCTGGTCCCCTTCCTTCCTCACCGCTAACCCCACCCATCTTCTCTTCCATGTGACTCGAACAAAAGCATTTACTCCTCTCTGTGCAGCTTGAAATTTTTTTACCACTGTTTTACAGCACAATCCTATCATGCTGAAGACCCATGGCTACTCTTCCAACTTGAATTCTTACCACTCTTAAACTGACTTTACTTAACCAAGGATATCAATCAGTCAAAATGAACTATGCTCTGTTGTCAAAATCTTGTCCCTACTTACCAGAACAGCATCGCCGGTGCCCTTCTGACTTTGATCCTTAGTCCCTCCCCCTACCTGGAGATAGTCTTTCTCCTGCCCTGTCACCCTTGTCTGCCCCCACCTCGCCCTTGCCCCCAGTCTGCCACGGAGCACTGCAAGTACTTGGCTGGGTTAGGTTTGTGGAATTAAAAGTTACAGAACATATTCTCATACACCTTGTTTTAATACATACGTGTTCCTACTAGGTATAGTCCAAATTGGATCCACATGCATCTTAAAAGTGCTGTGGAACAGACATGTTGTAGATAAACTCAGTGTCCAATTGTCTAGTATAAAGAGGTTTTCTTTTTACTAGTAATTCAAGGTTCTGTATTTATATGCAGCATTTGCAGCTTCATTAAAGCATTTCTCTGGGGCCAGTGTTGTGGCACAGAGGATTAAGCTGCCCCCAAGACTCTAGCATCCCACCCACCCTAACGGGCACCGGTTCCAGTCCTAGATGCTCTGCTTCTACTCCAGCTCCCTGCTAACGTGCCAGGGAAAAGCAGAAAATAGTCCATACTCCCATGCCCTGCACCCACAGGGGGGACCTGGATAGCTATGTCCCTGGCTACAGGTCAGCATCAGCCGTTCTTGCTAGCTGGGGAAATCTTTCAGCAGATGGAAGCTCTCTCTTTCTCTCCCTCTCATTTCACCTTTCAAATAATTCTGTTTAAAACAAAACCTCAGTTACAAAATATCTCCCTTCCAGAAAGATTGTTTTCCTGTCTCGCCTCACCTGAAATTCTTCAATATCTGCTATAACAATTGTATCAGAGACATTCTGTGCGGAAACTCAGCCCTGCCAACTATTACCCATGGTTTTGGACCTGCCTTTCCAAACATTGCAACAGGAAAACTGGCCAACATCACTTAACAGTTGTGGTAGGCCAACTCTGGTTCTCTCTCTAACATTTGTTTTAAAAGATTGTTGTTGCTTTATAATAAAATTATCTTCATTGGCTTAAAAGGGGTGCAATTGATTTACAAAATTGAAAGTAAATATAGGAAGGGATATTGTTGACTGACAGTGATCTGAATTCCTCATCAATTGTAGTGTCTAAATATTTTTAAAGTAAGCAGGCATTATCAGAGGGCCTGTGCTCAAGTCTTGGCACCACTCCCATCTGTGACACCCAGGTATCTGCCACCCATGCGAGAGAGCTGCACTGAGTCTTAGCATCACCGCTTCAGCCCAGAGCCCCAGCTGTGGGCAGCCATTTGGGAAGTGAACCAGTGAAGGAAAAAATCTTTTTCTATGCCTTTCAAGACGACGACGACGATCAGAAAATACTATTCCTCTTGCCATGTTTTGTTGCTTACCACCCTCAACTTTTACCATTTACTTGCTCTTTCCACAGGAAAAGTAATATTAAAATATACCAAATTGCTTTTTCTTTAATCTTACGGTTTGCAGCCACACAAAGAGGGCCCAAGGGCATTGCAAGCTGTCAGCCACTCAGATTGGGATATAAATATATATTTCTTTAGAGTTGCATTTTGAATGGTTCCTTAGAGAACAAGTCTATTTAGTGAAGCTAAAATGAAACGTAAGCAAATAGTCTTTTCAAGGCCCCAATTCTGTAGAATTCTAGATGTAATTTAGGAAGCACTGGTCTGAGTGGTTCTCAAATGTAGTTTCTAGATCTACAGTAGCATCACTGGAAATTTGAAAGAAATATTTTTAGCAGGCCCCGTTCCTCAAGGTGATTCTTGAGTTAGACTTGAGAACTACTGGTCTACACAAGAGACCAAAGAGGGATTACTTGTCTCCCCACTCCCAGAGATGCTATAGTGTATACAATCACTGTGGACATAAACCATTGTTGCTGTTCCAGATATTGCGCTGGAAATGTCAGGATCCTGGGCAAAGAGTTTTCCCCCTTGTTCCACCCACACCCACCACCACCACAAAAAAAAAAAAAAAAAAAAAAATCAGTAGTAATCCATGACTTTCCTAAGAGGTCACCAAGCCCAATTAGAGGTTAGAATTCCCAGTAAGGGAGGAAATGAGAGACTATCTGTTATTCAAGACATCTACTGAACTCTGCAAAAGCTGTTAAGACTCTAGGGCAGTCTTGTAGTCCCTTCCCTATGGGACTGACTGTAGCCATACAATTCCCTTGTGCTTTGCTTCATGTTAGAACACTGCTCTAATCTTGAGACTTAGACAAAACAAGCACTTGTATCCCCCCGCAACAGATTAGTACTGCTGATGTAAAAATTCACTATTAGAAGAGTGCTTGTCGCTGCTTTTTTGCTACTTCTACTTTTTGCTTTAAAGTCAACATGTTGGCTCTGTATGGCTGCAATTGAATTTCATTGTAATTGGAATAAAGATCAGGGGAGAAAGAAACCTGAATACTCCAAGAACACAGTCATATCACGACACAATACCCAACTCGCAGGAAACCAGAGAAGCAAAATACCAATCACAACTTGCTTAATCATACTACCCTACCTCCAACGAGACCCGAAATCCCAGCACATCTAGCTCTTGTCACAGCGGAGGTCATTAGCAAATGGTCACCTTAACAAGCAAAATGACCAGCTGGGAAGATCAGGGAGACCTGACCTTTTTAACAGTTGCCTTTCTTAGATATCCCTTTAGGAACTCCCTGGGATATCCATTCCTTTATGCAGTTGGCCGTAAAGATGAGCACCATTTGTGTACCAAGCAGTGCATCAGATGCTGAGTCACCACAGCAAAGAGGATGCAATTCCTGAGGGCCCACAGTCTGTCTTGATACCAAGTACTAGGTCCAACACAAACCCAAGAACCCAGGCTAACCTGGGGTCAGCCACATTGGCTTCATGGAATGCAAGGCGGATGAGTCAAAACTAGAAAAAGAAGAGGCAGTTTGCCCTGTGCCTACCTTTGCTTCACTCCTGTGCTCAGATATTCAAACAGTAGCACCCTGGTTGATGAGTAACCATTCAAGAGGTTGTAACAACCATCAAAGAGGAAATAATGATTTCTGACTGATAGCAAGCAGTGCTACTGCAAGGTTCCAGTGTGGGAGTGAGTCGTGAAGGTGCTTGCCACATGCAAGGTTTTGCAAGGTCGAACAGCTCAATCTTCAGTATTTTTAACCAAACACCCTGGATGTTCCTTTTTTGTTGTTGCAGAACAAGCAAAACTTGATTCTGATTCATGGAAATGTGTCCATCCCGTTAAGGAGACATTACTCACTGTTTTAATTTTGTAATCTATTTCAAGTGAGTCACTACGCTAACAGGATTAATAATTCTAAAGCTTTTTGAACTTTTACAAAAAGTTTTAAAAGTTATGCTTTAATTGTGTAAAAAAAAAAAAAAAAACTCAAAGCACAAAGATCGGATTGCTTCACATAGGGACACCTGACACAAGCATGCCGATTTCTGCCCTGGTGGAAAATGCCTGCCTCTGAGGACTGTGCGACGCCCTTACCTTGAACCCCCTTAGAAAACTCTTAGCATTTTAACACAACATGTGGCAGAAATTACCACCTAAAACTCTAAGACTTACAGGAAAAACCATCTCTCAGAAGTACGACGTTTGCTCACCTGGAACAGCGTGTTTGGCCCTTGCAGCCGGGCAGGACTCAATGGAGCAACGGGGCTGAGGCTGCTCCAGAAGTGGATGCTGGACAGCAGTGGGCTCGGGGTCAGAAGCAGTCCATTTGGTGTCTGGGAGGAAAAAGCAGACAGACAGTTCTTGCTATAGATATTTGCATACCTCCAGCCATGAGCAAGCAGCAGAGACGTGAGGTGCGCTGGCCACTGGCCAAGAGACAATGCTCGCTCCACTCAGGAAAATCAGACGACTCTTAACACCATTCACTTCCACACTCTCCAGCACTAATATTATGAACAGTTGTATAAAGGAGGTATTGACAAGTTGCTATCCATAAATAGTCTGCCAGAAAACACAGGCTTGTAGCGTCTTTAATCCAAATGGTTCCCTCACGTTGCTCCCACTCCTGTATCAAGCCAGATGTAGTACACAGCCCAACTCATGCCACAAAGGGTGTTCATTGTCATCTGCATGTCCACTAGGTGCACAGTATACCCCTCCTTAGACACACCACCAACCAGCTGCTAAAATACCCTGGTAGCACCCCACTGGGTGGTGGTAATTCATCACCCTCTGAGGGCAATGGCCCTCTTGTCAACTTGAGTGTGAAGCCCACACCCTGGGTTCTCAGGAGAGAACCAGGGCCTGCATTTTCCTGCACACACCACAGGAGTCCTGGCCCAAAAGCCAGCTAGAGGGCAGGAGATGCTAGGCAACACAGCCAGCCCAGCTGGCGAGTCTGTCGCTTTGCTTCTCAGCTGAGGTGAGCTCCTTGGCACCGGCTGGTTTTACACCTTGGGTGCCTGTGGGGAGCCTCTCAGCAGTTCTGTGATGTCAATAAGGTGCTTTGTGTCAGTAGCAGGCTGGCCCAGGCGCCAGCATTGCAGATTGCATCATGCTGGATGTTCAAGTGTTATTTTTTCCTAGAATTGGCCTCAGCAGCTTCATTAATTATTGAGAGCTTTTGGGCCTAAACCTGAATTGAAAGGTTGCTCTGTTCAGTGGGATGGAGGCAAATATCCAAAGGTCTTCAAACCGGTGAAGTTACTGAAAAGTAAACAGACTCATACCAAATTACGGGAGTTGTCGGTTCCAGGGCATTTCCTACATATTAAAATGACCTATGAGGTTACTAGGAAAAGTACACGTTGTGAATAAGCTTTCCGTTTGTTGCAGGCTCAGGCAGCTTCCCAAGTGGCCAGGCCATCTGGCCCGACAGTTAGGAATTAACTGCTCTGCGGCATCTTTGCAGGGTTCCAATGTCAGGACCAGTGCCTCCCGGCTGGCGCATCTCAGGTGAGAAACCGTACTTCCTCAAGCCTCAGTTTCCTAATCTTTATGTAAAAAGAGGAAAATTAAAAGACCCTCAGGACTTACAAGGTTTTCAGGAAGATTAAATGATGTACTCAGTACTCTTAAAGCTCGTTGAGTATGCATGCCAGATACAGATTAAGGGACTACAAACTAAGTAATGAATGAACCAATGAATTACTCATTAAAAGTATATCTGACAGACTGAGTGTATTTTCTCTGTTCACGGTAGACATAACTATCTGTAGAAGAGTACTTAATTCCCCCAAACAAACAAGCGACTTAGCTGGCCCTAAATTATGTTAAAGGAGTGGAGAACTACATGACTGGGGAGCCAGGTTCCAAGCACAGTATGTCACACAATCACCGTGTTCAGAGCCACCTTCTAGTTTTGTCAGAACAACTGGAGAGGGCTTGGGGTACAGCAGGGAAGCCGGCAGCTGGGTCTGAGTACTGGCTCCTCTTCCTGCCTCAGTTTCCTGTTGACATGCACCCCGGGCGGCAGCCAGGATGCTGGCTCAACTGGTGCTCCCTGCCACCTCCATGGCACACCCGAGTTGAGTTCCCAGCTGCTGCACATTTGAAGCATGAACCAGTACGTATGGATGGTCTCTTCCCTTGATAATGAAAAATAAATTCAAAAATTTTAAGAAAAAAAGCAAAAAAGTTTATCAGCTGATACTGAGAATGGACATTCAGTTCATGGAAAGATAATTATGTGAAATAAATATGAAGAAACACTATTAAAAATAATCTTTGGCACCACAAAACATAGCTGTCTTGCATCATGGCCATATATACACACACAATCCTTTGTAATCCTTTGAGCAATAAATACATAAGCAGAATTCGGATTTCCCTAATCCAAGATTTGTAGCCAGGTCTAGATTTGAGATGTCTGCATATTTGTTTCCAAGGGATACAGCATGTAATCAGAACACAGCGTTTCTCCTGTGTAGTATGTTTGAAATGTTGTCTATAATACATGCAAATAAACACTGAAATTCTCTGCTCCCATGCCCCTTCTGCCTGAAAAACCTGTGGCCTTAAAGACCAACTTAGGTAACGTGTCTAAGTTAGCAAGGTTCCCATAAAGCCTGACCTGGGTTGTCACCACCACACAACTTTTATTGCCTCTCTCCACAGGCTCCTGGAGCCTGGCGAGTGTGGACCTCAGCCCAAGGGGAAAGGCTACACAAAGAAGCCACAAGCACAAGGCCTGCTTCTTTAGAGAAGTCTTTCAGAGTGACCCCTGGGCCCAGGGACTGCCCGGGGAAGCAGGGGTGCTGAGGGCACTCCTTTGTGGAGCGTGGGGCTGCGGAGGAGGGATCCAGAGACCAAGATGCCTCATTTGTCATCCCTGTTCAGTTCTCCCACAGCTTAACACGGAGCCCTAGAGCCTAGAGACATGCCCTGCCTCCCTTTGCCCATCAAAATGCCACCTCCTCAAAGGAGCTTTTCCTCATCTCCCCGCAACCAGATGGGATTTCTCTTTTGGCATTTGGCAGGTTCTGCCTCCTGGCACTCCATAACCTTTCTGGGATTTGATTGTCCTACAGTACCCAGATTCTAAGTGCTCGAGGGGCTGAAGGGTGCGCCCCACCCCTCCCATCACTGAATGGACATGTTCATCTGGGAGTAAGAACTCCTAACTTCCACATCCGGTGTTTCCTACAGCTCTTTCTCTCTGCGGTACCAACGTTTACAGATCCTGTCAGCAAACCTTGAGTGCCCCGTATGATTCAGATATCACAAACCAAGGACAAAATGAGATGTGGCCCAGGCCCCTTGGACCACTCAGTATCCCAACCAAGGAGAGGTGGGATGCCTTTGTAGCTGACTCCAGATATGGCCCCTGGTGCCCCCATTCCTGTTGCATCTAAGCCCCTGCCGTTATAAAAGACATTGTACAACAGCCATGAAAATGCCTGTCCACTGTCTCCCCACTGATTCTGCACACTGCAAAACACTATGTTCTTCCAAACGCTTATGGTTCCAGAAAAGGACGGCTTTAGCCATTATCCCAAATTCCACTTACACCAATTTCATGTCCTCAGACTTCCTTATGTGAACCATCTTAAGTTGCTTGATATATCCCAAACTTATCTAATGAGAGTACTTCAAGAAACTCATAAAGTCTCTTGCAGTTCATGAAGAAATTCTTGAAGACCAAATCTAAAATAAGATTTTGGTGTGAAAAGGTTTTTGAAATCCATGCAGCTTTTTCATAGCACGAATTCCCAAGAACAGTGTGAAGATTCCTCATAGATATATTTATAATTTCAGCTCTTTTTTCACACCAAAATAAACAGCTTTTAGTTCCAACCTTTTATATACTTTCTTAAAGTGCCTTGCTACACGTAGAGCATCACAGAATTCCAGCCTACCGGTCAGTCAGTGTTCATTCCAGAAGTTCCCCGACTGTCCAAGGCCCTGGATGCTCGGGCTGCAAGCACCCTTCTTCATTTCCATGGATGTCTCCAAAACTGCCTGCAGTCTGAAACTTCCCTTCGCTCCAATGTTAGGACAGTACCCATAGCCTGTTGATGGTACTCCCCAAGTCTCGAAGTACAGCCTCCCTGACCTCATCCCACAGCTCCCAGCCTTGGATTCTGTCTCATGCAACAGTATCCATCTGGACCAGGATCCCCTTTTCCCTGTCCACGCACCACAAGGACTTACAAAAACTGCAGATTTGCCCACATTCTCTCCATGCCTTCTCTTCCCTCTCCCTCACCACTCCACTTTCCTGTCGAACTCACCCTCACTACATTTCTGACTCAGAGCCTTTTCATTTCTATGTCCTTCCCCACAAGCCATTCCCCTACCTACAAAGCCTTCATCCCGTCTGCCAGAAAAACTAACACATGGCTCCAGTGAGCTAGCCCCGGGCACGAGGCTCTCGCCATCCTTCCCCCACCTCTGACAGACTCAGTGCCGCCTTCCCTAGTGGTCTGTGTGTGTCCACAATTCTATTAGGTTCCAAAGGGAAGTAATGAATCCTGGACTCAGACTCGTATCCGGGTCTGCACCCCCTGCAACAGCAATTGGCACATGGCAGGTGCCCACAGCTGTAGAATTCAACTGAATGATCTTAACCCCGTCAGCTCCTAAGGTGCCTCTGCCATGTGTCACCTGCATTGCAGGCAGGGCAGATCTCATGTTCTTAACAAGTGTTCATCCTCTTGGTGCCGTTACTGTGGCTTACACAAAATGAACAATTATCTTGAGAAGAAGTCTAGTAGGTCTCCATCTTTTGTTCCATTTACACCTCTAGCAGCTGTGACTTTTCCATCAAAACAAGTCTAAATTCTTCAGCCTTCATTCAGGATCTGCTATAATGTTATGCCAAGGTCAGGGAGAGATCGTTTTATACTCGTTATGGGCCAGAGAGTGACCCAGAGGCCTAGGATGGGGTTGCTAATTGCTATATCCCTGGGTTCCCAGCAAGTGCCTAGAAGTTCTGTAATTATCTCCCAAATGATTCGTTAAAAATGCTAGGCAGGCAAGCACTGTGCCGCACCTGACTACGGTCTCTTCTTGGGGACTCCCATATCAGTGCACAATTCAAGTCCCCAGAAGCTCTGCTTCCAATCCAGCTTCCTGCCAACACGCCTGTCTGGAGTGTGTCAGTGTATGTTCAGCAGATGACAGTTCAAGTACTTGAGTCTCCTGCCAGTCGTGTGAAATTCCTGGCTCCTGGCTTCAACCTAGCCAGCCATGGCTGTTGGGAAAACTTGGGGAGTGAGCCAGCACATGAAGATTCATTCTCTGTCCTTCAAATAACTTTTGTTCAAAAGTA